GCTCGGCCTCCCCCGTCGCGCGCCGCTGCTTCCCGCCCGGGCCCAGGCCCGGGGTGTGCGGTGGGGTGGGGGCGCGCGCGGGGTGCGAGTATGCTTCGGGCCGCCGGAGTGCTCTTCCCCACGTGGGGTGGACACACGCGCGGGCACCGGCCAGACGGGAGCCGGGGCGGGCGTGCAGGGGCTGTGCTTAGCCCCGAGGAGGCCTCGCTCCGCCGGGGAGGTTCTTGGCGGGCCATGTGGACCCCCAGCGCGGGATACCGGAAATGCCCCGCGCGAATCAGGCCCCTGTACGCCCACCTGGCTTTGTAGCCCTTGCACTGGACAAAAGGGCAGTGATCGGGAGCACACCCCCTTGCCTGCTTCCTGGGTTTTGGGTGGCAGGTGCTCGGGAAGTGTTCTCAGGCCCTGTATGAGATGGGTGTTTCTGGATTGGGTTGCGGAAGGATTAAGGTGAATCCTGGGGTTCACGTTCTAAGAAGGCGAAGATTACAGGGGTCATGACTGTTGTGGTTGGGTGACGAACCGATCAGTTTTGGTCGGTGTGTGTTGCTGATCTTCATAGAATGGTTACGGAGCGCATTTTCAACTTATATATGAAGAGTGACTGTACCACGGGTAGTTGGTGGCAGCCTAATTTGTATTACTGTCATGGATTAGTTTCCATATTACGTTAGCAGCTGACACTATTCTGTTGCAAGTGTATATAATGTGATTAGTAATAGGAAACACCAAGAATTTTTTTAATGAGGCCGTCCCTCAGCTTCTGTAATAGAGTGATTGGATTCTGTCTTTTGTAGTAAAACCCTCTAAAAAGTGCTACAGTACGTTAGCAGATGCCATGATTCCTGAGTGGTCTTGTAATGAAAATGCAATTTGTCAAATACATGCTTGAACACGTGGAGAGCATGCCTTGTAAGCAAGTTTTTCTGTTAGCTTTACTGTTATAGTTTACATACCAGCCTATCAGTGTTAACCTCGGAAGACTGGTTTATATTTTGTATTGAATCCCCTGTGTTTTTGTTTGTTTGTTTTTGCAGAAAAAGAACAACAAGAAGCAATTGAACATATTGATGAAGTACAAAATGAAATAGACAGGTAAATTTCTAGTTACACACCATGGAAGTGTTTTCATGCATTTTATCACCCAGTGATCATTGAAATGGGTCAAATAAATCTCACTGAGGGTCACTGATTATATCTTGGCTGAGGTTATTATGTAAGTAGTGTTATTTTCCTGTGACATTTGTTAAAAAGTAAAAGTACATTGATACTGAAGTGATGGGAGTTCTTTTGAGACAGTCTCTCTGTGTTGCCCAGTCAGGCATAATTTCAGTCTCCCAAGTGCTAGAATGGCTGGGGATCATCTTAAATGGCAGTGTCTGGCTTCTGATCTAACTTTATGGCATCAGTATATCTGGCTAGATATTTTGTTACTTGATTGACAGGTTTATTTACAATTCCTGGTATAGGGGAACACAATTGATAAGGAAATGAATTGAATGCACAAGAATTTATGGTGTGACCCAGGCCTGATGGTAGACCTCTAATCCCAGGAGGCAGAGGCAGGCAGATCTTTGAGATTAAGGCCAGCCTGGGGCTACAAGGAGACTTTGTGTCAAAAGAAAAAAGAGACCCCCACCAAAAAAATGAATGTTACCAAGACTAAGGACATTTAGATCAGTATTGTGCTCTTGGGGGCCTTGGTCTCCAACGTGGAGGGAAAACATCCTACCCCAAGAAAAGATTAAAAGGGGTGCTTAATTTGGGAATTAGGGAGGGTTGCCATATTAAGTTTCATGGTACAGGCCTTTAATTGCATAACTCTGAGGCAGAGTCAGGTGGGTCAGGCAGCCCAGGCTACATAACAGGATACTATCTCAAATTGCTATCTTCACATTTTGACTTATGTCTCTAGTATAAACTAGGAGGTTTGATTGCTATAAATAATATTTTATACACCCTAAAGCCAATGACGAGTGCATTCTATAGTGACTAGCGGCCTTATCTGTGTAATAACACTGTCAGCTTGTCTTCATTTGCTTTAGACTTAATGAACAAGCCAGTGAGGAAATTTTGAAAGTAGAACAGAAATACAACAAACTCCGCCAACCGTTTTTTCAGAAGAGGTCAGAATTGATCGCCAAAATCCCCAATTTTTGGGTAACAACATTTGTCAACCATCCACAAGGTATGTGAGCAGATGATTATTAAGAGACTTTAGCACTTTAGTTTGTCATAGTGTTCAATGCATGGGTGGCATGCAAAAATTGTAAACCTCAGTGAGGAGGGTCTTGGGTTGCTGTTTTTGTGAAAATGATCTTTTAACTGGAACTCAGATTAACTGATAAGAGTAACATATCCAACTGAAGGATTTGACTCTATAATAACGGGTGTATTAAATGAAATGATGGAGGAGAGGTAAAGATTTGGGAATGTTTCAAAGGGTCACTTGGTAGCTACTTACTGCTGAACGGACATGGGATTTTGTTGTAGTGTCTGCACTGCTTGGGGAGGAGGATGAAGAGGCGCTGCATTATTTGACCAGAGTTGAAGTGACAGAATTTGAAGATATAAAATCAGGTTACAGAATAGATTTTGTAAGTATCCATAATTGTGTTTGCTGCTATAAAAATTCATTGGGGCTTTGGTTGGAAGAGCCACATGTATTGATGTCTGATCTTTGAATCTTTTACAGTATTTTGATGAAAATCCTTACTTTGAAAATAAAGTTCTCTCCAAAGAATTTCATCTGAATGAGAGTGGTGATCCATCTTCAAAGTCCACTGAAATCAAATGGAAATCTGGAAAGGTACATTTTAAGGACTTCTTGGACAGAAATAAAGTTTGGATATTTTGGTTTAGCAGGGTCACTTAACTAGTAGGTACAAACTCTTACCCCCCTCCCCCCTTGGTGTTTTTGAGACTGGGTCTCCCTGTAGACCAGGCTGGCCTCAAACTCACAGAGATCCACCTGCCTCTGCCTCCCATGTGCTGGGACCAAAGGCATATGTCACTTTGCCCTGCTCAAAGTCAAGTGTGTAGAACAGTATTAATGGTGCTAAAATTTGGGGGATTTACACTGGTACTTGGTTTTTCAAATGGTTTTATCGTTTACTAAAATCCATTTATATCTGAGTACTTTGAAGTGTTTTTATTTCAGGTGTCTTCCTCACATGGTTTTGTTTTGGTTTTGATACAGGGTCTCTCGGTTCTAGTCCTGGCTGATTCTGAATTAGCTATGTAGATTAGGTTGGCCTGGAACTTACAGAGATTAAACTCACAGAGACTCTCTTGCCTCTGCGTCCTTAGTGTGGTAGGCATACCAGAATCAAAGGCCTGCACCACCAAGCCCAGTTAGGTTTGGCCTTTTGTTTTTAGAGCTAGTATCTGGCTGTGTAGCTCAAGCCTAACCAGGCTGGCCTCAAACTCAGAGATCCATCTGCCTCTGGCTCCCCAGAGCTGGGATTAAAGGGGGTGCACCACCACATTGTGAAAGGCAGTTTGTACATTTTATAGTTGTCTTCATGGTAGTGCACTTAACTCTGCTTCAGTGGGAGTCTTGCATGGCGTTTCGGTGTTACAGGAAACCTAATACCAAATATGTGGCATTTTCGTTTAGGATTTGACGAAACGCTCAAGTCAAACACAGAATAAAGCCAGCAGGAAGAGACAGCATGAAGAACCAGAGAGCTTCTTCACCTGGTTCACTGACCATTCTGATGCAGGCGCAGATGAACTAGGAGAGGTCATCAAGGACGACATCTGGCCAAACCCCTTGCAGTACTACTTGGTGAGTTGAGGGTGCTACTTACTGGAGGGTGGAAGCTTCTCATTTGTGTGAAAATGAGTAAAGATACCTTGGATTCTTTTTACTTTCTTAAAAAAGGTTCCTGATATGGATGATGAAGAAGGAGAAGGGGAAGATGATGATGATGATGATGAAGAAGAAGAAGGGTTGGAAGATATTGATGAAGAAGGGGACGAGGATGAAGGTGAAGAAGATGAAGATGATGAGGAAGGAGAGGAAGGAGAGGTAAGATAGCTTTGGAAGGTATATGTTGAATATATGGACCTACGAGGGGGATTTTCTGGGGGAGACCTGCTCTTAATGTCCCTGGGTCTATTGATGCCAACTTGATGCAGATTCATACTAGGCTTGGCAAGGGTGTGCCCTCTGAAGGACCCTGTGTTGCATGAGGTCCCTTGCCCATTTGGAAGCTGGAGAAAAGGGCTTGTAGTTAACTGGAGAATTAACTGGTTCCTTTTTCTTTCAGGAGGATGAAGGAGAAGATGATTGAAAGAAAAGAACACTGATGGATTCCAACCTTCCTTTTTTTTTAAATTTTCTTTTTATTTTTTAATTTCCTCCAGTCCCTGGGAGCAAGTTGCAGTCCTCCCCTCCCCCGCCCTTCTTGTGCTCAGTCACCCTGTTTTTGAAGTCTCTTTTCTCAACACGATGGTTCTCAACATATTTGGGGGAAATGACCTTGAGCAGAGTGCAACAGGAAAAGAACCTCTAGTCTTCTGTTCTAAATTCATTTTGGTCCCTTCTTGTCTCAAACTGTGGACTCGCCACCACCACCACCACCACCACCGTGCTCTGTGGGAAAAACAACCTCCTGCTCCCTTGACTCTGCTGGAAGCTGGGGGTGCTGGGCCCCTGTGTAGTAGTGCATAGAATTCTAGCTTTTTTCCTCCTTTCTCTGTATATCGGGCTCAGAGATTACACTGTGTCTCTATGTGAATATGGACAGTTAGCATTTACCACCATGTACCTGTCTACTCTTGTTTAATAAAAAGAAAAAAAGTAAAAAAAATGGGTATAGAAGGTCAGCAAAGGGTGGGTTTGAGATGTTTGGGTGGGTTAAGTGGGCATTTTGACAACATGGCTTCTCCTTTGGCATGTTAATTGTGATGTTTAACAGACATCTTTTCAGTTTAAATGACACTTTTAAGATAAACCTCTCCTCATGGTGCCCTGAGCCCTGCCACTTAGTGGGAGAATCAGCAGAACCTGCAGGATTCTATTTGGAATTGACATTCTCTATTGTGATTTTATTTTTAATTTTTTTTTGTTTTCACTGGAAAGGAAAGAAGATGATGCTCAGTTTTAAACGTTAAAAGTGTACAAGTTGCTTTGTTACAATAAAACTAAATGTGTACACAAAAGATTTGATGCTTTTCTCTCAGACTAGATATGACCTTCCGAGTTTGACTTGTACAATATCATGTCAAACTGTGTCTCCCTAACTCCGTATTTTTTGATACGCACTTTGCAGGATGACCTCAGGGCTATGTGGATTATTGAGCAAAGGGATCTGAATCATGTCTTAATGTTTCCACAGCCGGGTAACGGGTACACTTTGCTGCCATGGAGCTGTACCCTTGATTTTAAATCTCAGTTTGGCATTTTTTAAAATGGACCTTTAGTTACCTGGATATTGTAATCGTACCTGCTACCACCACAGACCTGTTGCTCTGATGCCAGCTGTAGGTGGGACAGCTGGCTCAGTCTTCACCGGCAGTATAAACTGTCAAGAGTGAGAAGTCCATGTTGGAGTTAGGAGGACTTTGTCTCTTAACTCCCAGGTATGTAGCAAAAGTTACCAGATGTGACTGTGAATCTGGGTGGGAAGAAAAAATGAGCACTGCTCAACCATTGTGCAGAGAATGTTATTTTGGGAAGCCACCTAATGCATAAGCTTTTTAATGCTGTAAAATAGAGCTGAAATTAAATGCCACTTTTTCAGAGATGATTAATGGACAGCCTGGTCAAATTCAAAGCTTTTTGATGTGTAAAACTTTATAAATGGAACTATTCCATCAATAGGCAAAGTGTAACCAAAATCTGTCTAGATGGATAGTATGTGATTTCTGCACAGGTCTCTGTTTAGTAAATACATCACTGTATACCGGTCAGGAATCTTGCTCCAATAAAGGAACGTAAAGATTTTTTTTGGACTGGGGTCATTCTCCTTGTTTTGTAGAGAAATGTTACTACAGATTTAGATGATCTAATGTTAATGCCTGGGAGAGGGAAGATTTAAAACTACGCTGTGATTATGGCATAGGCACATCTATGTAGGTCTGCACCAAACTTGTGCTTTTTAGGTGGTTCTTGCTATGTGGCCCAGGCCAGTCTAGATGGGAGGGGGACGGGGATGTTGATGTGGGCTCATGTTCATACACTTCTAGTTCCAGCCTGTGATGAGTGCCTCCCTAGTGCCAGGATTAAAGACTTGTACCACCACTCCCAGCCTTTCCCCCCTTTGAGTCAGAGCTGGCCTTGAACTCAGTTCTGCCTCACCTCTTCACTACCATACCCCTTTTTATTTGGCCCAGGTGTTTCCCAAATAGCTTGGATTACCAGCCACCTGCCAGCCACAGGAGACTAAGTTTTTTTAGAATTTGGGACAGCGCCTCCCTTTGTACACCAGTCTGGCCTTGAACTCAGAGATCCACCTGCCTCTGCCTGCCAAGTGCTGGGACTAAAGGTGCACCACCATGCCCCCCAATCTTTTTGAGACAGGGTCTCCCTGTAGTCCCAGCTGACCTGAACTCACAATGTAGACCAGACTGGCTTCGAACTCATAGTGATCCACCTGCCTCTGCCTCCCAAGTACTGGGACTAAAGGTGTGTGCTACCACACCTGGCTGCCCCAGACAATCTTACTTGGAATGTAGCAAATAGTTTGAGGAGATGAGTGGTTTTTATTTGGAGGGTTAAATATTTAAAAGGGCTCAAGTTGAAGTCCTGTAGTGAGGTGGTTAGCCACGTGCTTTGAGCCCAGTTGTGAGGGTTTCTGGGCTGCCCTTGGTGTGGTGGAGGGGTAGAGAAGCGACTCTGATTCTTTGCTCAGGAAGAGTTGACTGCCTTCTGAAAGGAGGGAGTTAGACTTCAAGGAGCATGTAGTAACAGCTTATGAAGTATTCTTAGGTAAGAGTTTCAAAATCCTCAGGAATGTTTCTAGAACATCCCAGTATTTAGTTGCTTATTACCCCAGTGCTCACTTTGTCTTTTGCATGGTGGTGTGAGAGCCAGGCCAGCCTAGTCTGTGTGGTTGAGTTACCTGCTGGAGCTATAGTGAAATCCTGACTCAGAAATTGACTTCATTTTTAAATTTTTATATGAGTGTGTATTGCCCGTATGTGTGTAAGTGTACCCATGCCCTGCAGAGGGCAGAAGAGGGTATCCGGTCCCTGGGAACTGGAGTTAACCTCCATGGGGATGCTGGGAATGGAACCTGGGCCCTTTGGTCTCTTAACCACTGAGCCATCACTCCAGCCTCTTTGCCTTTTGAAGATTTAGGGTCTCCCAGTAGCACTTTCTAGCCTGGAACTCAGAGATCTGCCTGTCCCTGCCTCCTGAATCCTGGGACCTATTTATTTTTTTTTTTGAAGGAAGGTCTTTAGTACAGATCAGTCTGGCCTCTGTTCCTACCAAGTGTGAGTGCTGGGATTAAAGGTATGTGCTGCCACACCTGGCTGATTTTTTACTTTAAAAACATGTATGTAAGCAGGGCATGGTGGCGCACGCCTTTAATCCCAGCACTCTAGAGGCAGAGGCAGGCGGATCTCTTGAGTTCAAGGCCAGCCTGGTCTACATAGTGAGTTCCAGGACAGCTGGGGCCACAGGGAGACCCTGTCTCAAAAAGACCAAAAAATATATATATATATGTAGTGCTAGGAATTGAACCCAGGCCTTCCACTACCACTGAGCTATACCACCTGCCTGTGGTATTTTTTGCTTTTTGTTTTTTTGAGACTCACTATGTAGCCCTAGCTTGCTTCTGGCATTGAACTTGCTGTGGCCTCGAATTCACAGGTCTACCTGCCTCTTTATTTTACTTTTTTTTTTTTCTTTGTCTTTTTGAGACAAGGTCTCTGTAGCCCCAGCTGACCTGGAACTCAGTATGTAAACCAGGCTGGCTGGCCTTGAACTCAGAAATCCGCCTGCCTCTGCCTCCTGCTGAAACTAAAGGCATGCACCACCACACCTGGCACTATTTTTATTTTGTGTGTATGAGTGTATTGCCTGCATGTATGTAAGTGTACCCATGTCCTGCAATGCCTGTGGAGGTCAGAAGAGGGTATCAGATCCCTTGGAAACCATAGTTAGCTGCCATGTAGGTGCTAGGCTTTGAACCAGGTCCCCTGCAAGAGCAGCTCTGAGCTGCTGAGGCCCAGCTCGTGTTTATGATCTAGTAAGAGTTGTTGAAGTGAGATTCTGAACACTGGTAGCACATACTGCTACTGCTTTATGATGCGTAATGGCTGGCTTCACTTGGTCCTGGAAACAGGTTTGGTGCTTCTACTTTTTTGTTTCACTATAAACCCCTTTTGAGTCCCAGGAATGCACTTCTGTAAAACACAGTGAAGATTCCAGCTACTGGAAGGGGGCTAAGACAGGTAGATTTTATTTCAAGGCCAGTCTGGGCAACTTAAGTTCTGTGAGTAGTTAACATTTCTAAGAGTGTGTCACTGAGATCATTCTCCTTAGAACATACAGTTGTGGTTAGGAGAGCTTATTGGTCTTTTTGAGACAGGGTCTCCCTGTAAGCTCAGCTGATCTGGAACTGCATAGACCAGGCTGGCCTCCATCTTACAGAGATCTGCCTCCCCCTGCCTTCTTGAGTGCTGCAACTGAAGACATGCGCCACCACGCCTGGCCAAGCTTCCACATTTTACCTGTAGAATGTTTACATTTATTTTGTGTACACGTGTCCCCAAACTTTGCTTCTTTATTTTGGAGCCAGTCTTAATATATAGCCCTGGCTGGCCTGAAACTCTTAAGACCTGCCTCTGCCTCCTGAATACTGTGATCAAACATGTACTTCATTGTGCCCCACTAAGGTTTTTCATTATGACCTGGTATGGTGGTGCACACTTTTAATCCCAGCACTTGGGAGGCAGAGGCAGGCAAATCTCTGAGTTCAAGGTCAGTCAGCTGGTCCACTTAGCCAGTTCAAGCCAGTTGGGGCTACAGAGAGTCCTTGTCTCAAAAAAAAAGACCATTTTTTTTTTTCATTACATGTGTCTGTGTGCCACATGTGTGCAGGTGCCTGGGGAGGCCAGAAGAGGGCATCGGATGCCTTGGAGCCGGAGTTAGAGGTGATTGTGAGCTGTCTGGTATGGGTGTTGGAAAACAAATTTGGGTCCAGGAAAGAGTAGTGAGTGCACTTTGCTGAGCCACCTCTCTGTTCCCCAAATGTACATTTTGACATGTCTAAGGGAAACATGACTTGTTCATGGAGGGTGAGTCCCAGCTTGATGGGGTAACTGTGCACTGATGTTCCACCCAGAAACTAATGTAGATGGATTGGTTGCAAAAAAAAAAATGTCCGGAAGGGTTTCCTTATGTGTCTCGAGGAAGCTGCAGACGCCTTTCAGGTTGACTGTACAGCAGTCCTTTGACTTCACTCTGACTCCTGGAACTGTAGATCTGCCTGTTTCTTCTGCCCCTCCCCAAATGCTGTGCTCAAAGGTGTGCACCATCATATCTGGTGACAATAGTCCAAGGCCACTTAGTTGGATAGTCACAGTGCTGTTCACCATCCACTGGATAGTAAGAATTTCTGCTTTCCTGAGAAATTCTGTTTTGGAACATAGCATCAGACAGCAGGTCCTTCCCTACTCCAAAGTGTTAATTCTGCTACCTGTGAGCTCCCTTCCTGGAAGACAAAGATAGGAGATGCTTAGTGGCAAACATGGAAAAGCATCTGATCAGCTTCTGGTGTGTGTGAAGATCAATGGCTCTGAGGCCTGAGGAAGGAGCACCCTTCTATGGAGAGTTTTCTGGAGGTTAGAGATTTGGCTCAGCAATTCAGGCTTTGCCTAGCACATGGGAGATCCTGGGTTTGGTCCCTCAGCATCATTAAAAAAAAATTGGGGGGGCTGGAGAGATGGCTCAGCAGTTAAGAGCACTGACTGCTCTTGCAAAGGACCCGGGTTCAATTCCCAGCACCCACATGGCGGCTATGAACCATTCTTAACTCCAGTTCCAGGGGAATCCGAAGCCCTCTTCTGACTTCCTCGCCATTGCACAACACGGGTGCACTCACATACATGCAGGCAATACACTCATATGAATTAAATAAAAATAAAAAATATTTAAAAAAACAAAAACACTAACCAGTGTTTGAACCAGGGTTCAAATCCCAGCACCCACGTGACAGCTAACAACTGTCCTTAACTCCAGTCCCAGGGAATCAGACAGTCTGTTCTGACTTTGGGCATTGCATGACACGGGTGTGTTTTACCTACATGCAGGCAATACACCCATACACATAAAAAATAAAAAAGATTGGGCTGGACAGATGGCTTGGCATTTTTGACTTTGGCTTGGACCTTGCTGTGTAGATAGACCAGGACTCAGGTCCACCTGCCTCTGAAGTGCTGGGATTAAGACTACACCAGGCCTGGTTTGGTCCTTGGAGTGTGTATTGCTTTTGAGTTAGGATTCCTCACACTTTCTAGCCTCTCAACAACCTGTAACTCCAGTTACAGGGGTGATCCAAGGCCTCTGGCTCCACAGGCACCTACTCTCTTCACATACACCTCACCCCCAGACAGACCCGTACGTATAATTAAAACAGTAATCAGGAGTTAAGGGCCAGATTCAGGCCAACTTGGACTGCATGTAATCTTGTCTCAAAGTAGCCCTGGCTACTTATCAAACCTTGACCTAGTGGGGTCAAGTCACCAACCGGGAAGGGTCAGGGTCTGTTCCACAGCATTGCAAAGGCATTTCATGTGGACAAATTACTTGAAAGTGGCCATTACAAGGTGCAAATATCTTTTGTACTATTACCTCCCTTCTCTGGTGCTAAACCACACCCCCAGTATGTGCATGAGCATGGATGTGTATGTGCTGAGAAGACAAACTTAGGTGTTCCATAGGAATGAAGTCTAATTTAAAAATTATATATATATTATTCAGCTGCCCTGGAGCTATGTAGACCAGGCTGACCTCGAACTCACAGAGATCTGCCTGCCTCTGCCTTCTGAGTGCTGGGACTAAAAGAGTATGCCACCACGCCCGGCTAAAAATTTATATTTTATGTGTAGAATCTTTTGCATTTATGTGCACTTATGTAAGCACACCTGTGCATGGGGGCCAGAAGATGGTGTTCCATCCCCTGGAATTGGAGTTATGGATGGGTGTTAGCTGCTATGTGGATGCTGAAAATCAAACCCTGGTTCTCTGCATGAGCTGTGCCTTCTCTCCAGCCCCCTCCTTTTTTCTTTTTTTGTGTATTTTGCCTGCATGTATATAAGTGTACCACGTGGGTGTCTGATACCTAAGGAGACCAGAAGAGGGCATCCAATCTCCTGATACTGGAGCTGTGTTAGCCACCATGTGGGTGCTGGGAACTGAATCCAGGCTCTCTGGAAGAGCAGTAAGTGCTCTTAACTGCGGAGCCATATCTCCAGCCTATTATTTATTTATTTATTTATTTATTTAGGTCTTTTTGAGACAGGGTCTCCCTGTAGCCCCAGCTGGCCTCCTGGAACTATGTAGACCAAGGCTCTGTGATCTCGAAATCAGAGATCTGCCTGCCTCTGCCTCCCCCGTGCTGCAATTACAGGCGTGCGCCACCATGCCAGGCTTTAACCTCTTTTTTTTTTTTTTTTTAATGTGTGCGTTTTAGTTGGTGGTGGGTGGTCGGACACAGCTTTAATCCCAGCATTCAGGAGGATCTCTATGAGATCGAGGCCAGTATGGTCTACATAGTGAATTCCAGGCCAGCTGGGGATAGGGAGCCCTGGTCTCGGGGGGGGGGGGGGGAAAAAAAAAAGTTTATTTTAATTTGGGTTCTGGAGCTTGAACTCAGGTCCTTGAACCTGCAATGCAAGCACTTTACAGACTGAGAATCTCCCCAGCCTGGATGGGCTTTACCGTAAAGTCAGAACAGTGCAGGTCTGGCTGAACCAGCAAACTCATTCCAGGGTCATGGGCTTGAGAGGAGGGAGGTTGGTTCATATCTAATTTGTAATTTGCTATAACTTGGATGAAGTTTTACTTTTTCTTAACATACACCCTCTTATTGGTACCAGTATCTAGACAGGGCTAGCTACTGCCTGAGAATGCCAGGCTGGGGTTGGCCTATTCTACACCAAAGACTTCTAGACAGGCCTGGGACTTGGAGCAGGAGGCCCACGCAATAGGCGCAGAAGGCGCGGGGCGCGCAGAGGCGGACCAGACGTGCTGTGTGGGGACGCGTGGCCCGGAGGCTGGCAGAGGGCGCTGTCCCCATCCTGGCCCTGCTCCCGCGTGCACGGCAAGCCAGCGGAATCCGGTCGGGAGCTGTAGTCTTGCAGGACGTGAGCAGGAGTATCCCAGGTCCCGGGGCGCTGCGCGCAGCAGGGTCGCGGGCGCTGCTCCGCGCGGCCGGGAGGGGGCGCTGTTCCCCAGCGCCCGCGGGTCCCGGGAAGTTTCTAGTTTGAAAGTCCTGGCGCCGAGGTCCGGGCTTCCGGAACCGCAGGGAGGAGAGGAGGGGCCCGCGTGGCCCTCGCCGCGCCATGGACCAGGTGAACCGCGCGCGCAGCCGGGGCGCCCCGAGCTCGGGGCTCCACCCAGCCGGGTTCCCACTCCGTGACCTCGTGCCAGGCCGGCTAGAGCCCCGGGTCCCCAGAATGCCCAAAGCTAGCCTTAGCACGCCTGCACCCTGGAACGCGCCTCCAGGCTGGGCACCAACGTTGCTGAAAAGCGGCCCTTCTGGGGACTCTCTGGAGGATGGGGCTGGGCCAGGACCGCAGGGGGTGGCGAGCTGGCACAGGAAAAGGTGCCTGGGGGGGCGACTTGGGTATTTGCACGGGGTGGGGAGGGCCTCGCTATGCTCCCGGTGGGCGTGGTCGCCGGCGCGCCACACCCACAGGCGGGAAGGAGTACGCCATCGGAGGCCAGCAATGCCCCCACTACCCTCAAGGGACTCCCGCCCACTGAGGGTTGCAGACTATTAGAGGGATTCGCGTTCTTCGGGGTGTCACTGAGAAGGGGGAAAGGTAGTGCCCTACCGCAGGCGATTAGGGGTAGGGTGGGGCATTTATGAACAAATGGGTCCCAGTGCAGAGCAGAAAAAGGAAGCTGTGTGTTGTGAAGTCAGGGCATGAGGTTATGGGGTGAAGTGCAGTACATAGGGACACCCCAAGTAGCACAGGCAGTCCTAGGGGCTGGATCTCACCCTTCCCACCCCCTTCCTCCGGAGATCCCTCTTGCCTTTTCCAGCAGCGGCTTGTACACATTTTCCGATTTCCTGTGAGAGCCTCCGCCCTGCAAGAGCGGGGTGACTCAGGACCCCGGTGGCCTGGGCCCCCAGCACTGTGAGATCTTTGTTTGCCCAGGCCTTTGGCTCTGGCCCTCTAGCCTGTGGCCGTCAAAGGATTTCCTGAGCCTCGCCCTTGCCCTCTGACAGCCAAGGCAGAGCGACCTAGTTGAGATCTGGGGTGGGGGGGTGGGCCCTGAGCTAGGTAGCAGTCCTTTCATGGGGCTCAGGAGATGGACCGAAAACAGGTAAGAGAGGTAAGATTAAAGTGGCTGCAGGGTCCTTGGGGTGGGAGGAGGGTCAACACCGATTGCCTTGGGCTGAAGTTAGTCTCTGGGCTTTCCTCTTCCTCTAGCCTGGTGAGCAGTTCAGGGAGTCTCCTGCCTATTGTGAGAGCTGAACTGGGAACTGGTGCCCCAGAGCCCCAGCCCCCCGAGCCCTTCTGGGTACCTCTGGTTTGCCACCTGTCACATTGTCAAGGCAAAGACACAGCCTCGGTCTGTGTGCAACCTTGAGTGAATCGGTCTCTGTGCTGAGATTTTCCTGTCTCCCAGATTCTATTTGGCTCTCAGAGGAGTACAGCTAGCTGACAGAGGCTGGGGTCCCCGTTTCTGAATACATGGGTGGCCTCTCCCTTGTTCTCTCTGTGGGCAAGTTGCTTAACCTCTCTGCATTCCTTCCTTATGAATAAAATGGGGGTGAGAGCTGTTCTTGGGAGTAAGTGTGTGGCTATGTGGCAGAGCTTCTAACTAGTATGCGCCAGGCTGTGGGTTCTATCCCCAGCACCACAAGAAGTGATTGCTGTGGTTACTGCAGAGTGGTAAATCAAAGCGTTTCAGAGATCTTTGGTCTAGAGACCAGCACCCAGTAAACATTCGGGGAACTATGTCCATTTCCTCTCTCCCTTCTCTGAAATGGAAGAAAATATCTAACCCCCTGGCTGTTTCCACCCCAGAGTTCTGAGGGCAGAGACACCGCCCATGCTATGCGTCTGTCTCTGGGTGTGCTCCCTTACTGGAGAGGGTGATGGGCTGTGACTTCTGTCCTTGGCAGCCTGGGCCCGGCCAGCGGTCCCCCGAGGATGAAAAGGAGATGATCCGGAAGGCCATCCAGAAGGAGCTGAAGATCAAGGAGGGTGTGGAGAACCTGCGTCGTGTGGCCACAGACCGGCGGCACCTGGGCCATGTGCAGCAGCTGCTGCGAGCCTCAAACCGCCGTCTGGAGCAGCTGCATGGAGAGTTGAGGGAACTGCATGCCCAGGTTCTGCTGCCGGACCCAGCTGGTGAGTGAGGAGTCCAAACTGACCCCCCTGGACAGCAGGCTTCTGGCCTTGGCCCTAACCGATGCTTAAGACCGCCTGCCTTACCTTCTGTGACTCCTTTAAAGGCCTCTGTTGCAGATGTGGCCGGGGAGGGGAGGAGAGAGCCCATTCCCAGGGGTTTAGGCTCCAGTGACAGGCTCACATGTCCCCTCCCCTCTGCCCACAGAGCCTGTGGCCTCAGGACCACGGCCCCAGGCAGAGCAGCTAAGGGCTCGGCGCTTGGAAGCTTTACAGAGGCAACTGCAGGTGGAGCTGAAGGTAAAGCAGGGGGCCGAGAACATGATTCACACATGTGCCAGTGGCACCCCCAAGGTAAGCTTTGGGGGTCTCATGGGGGGAGGGATAGGCCTGGCTTTCAATCAGGTGGGAGAGATTTGACTGTGCAGACTGGGAAATATAACCCAGTCAGCCCCCAGTCCCAGCCTCCAGAAGGATATCAAGAGCTCTACCCACACAAAGCTTCATCTGATGGGATGGTATGATGGGGGAGGCTTAACCCTAGCTAGCTTGTGTTAGTCTGATGGACAACGAAGGCTGGATATGACCCTTGATATGATAGGGAAGGCTCAGCTGTAGTCCTGGGTCTGCCGCAGCCATGGTCTGATGGAGTGAGTGTCATGTAACATCGCCATAGGAGAGAAAACTTCTAGCAGCTGCCCAGCAGATGCTGCGGGACAGTCAACTGAAAGTGGCCCTGCTCCGGATGAAGATCAGCAGCCTGGAAGCCAGCGGGTCCCCAGAGCCAGGTAAGGCTTCTGGAAGCAGGGAGGACGGTGCCAGGTGCCCAGGGCTGAGGGCTCACCTCCTCCCTGTAGGCCCCGAGCTGCTGGCAGAGGAGCTGCAGCACCGGCTGCATATTGAGGCTGCTGTGGCCGCAGGAGCCAAGAACGTGGTGAAGTTGCTCGGTGGCCAGAGAACACAGGACCGCAAGGCACTGGCTGAGGTCAGGCTGTGTCCCCCGCTTGCTGAGGGTTTGGTTATCTCTGTCCACTCCTGCATAGGTGCCTGGCACCACTGGGCTGGCTATATGTGCGGGCAGCAAAGATCCACAAGGCACCAGGTCTGTTGAGACCTGCTGTAGGGTGTCTCCAGGGACCTGGGTCAGCAGCTGCCCTCACACCTGAACCCTAAGACCTGTCTCTGTTTGTGTCTCTTCTGTAGGCCCAAGCCCAGCTCCAGGAATCTTCCCAGAAGCTGGACCTCTTGCGACTGGCCTTGGAGCTGCTACTGGAGGGGCTGCCTCCTACCCACCCTCTGCGTAGCAGGGTGGCCCGAGAGCTTCGGACTGCCATGCTTGGGAACCCCCAGCCTTCCAGGACACTTGTGAAACCCACTGCTCTGACAGGTAACCAGGAGTCCCTCCCACTTTAGAGGGCCCCTTCCTTTTTAGAGAGGACCCTGAAGCACTTTGAGGAACAGTTGAGTCCTGCTGTGTGACCTTGGAATCTAACATCTCCTCTCTCCCCTCTCAGATTATCCATCTGTAATAGAGAAATTAAAATAACAGTGTCTCACAGGGTTGCTTTGTAAATTCAGTGACTTGTGACACTGACAGCACTGAACACAGTTTGGGGCAAATCAGAGCTTATCTCGTGTTGCTATTATTGAAATAAATGGCCTGTAGGAAAGATTGAAACAACAGTCAATTAGTACACGGTTCTGGCAGCCTTGGAGCCCAGTCCTGGGTAGCTTGGACTATTGGAAAGTTTTTCCTTTCCGATAGGTCTGTGTCCCTGTAGCAGCAGCTGACTGACAATATAATCTGAGGCTGGAGAGATGCTCAGGGGTTAGGAGCTTAGGAGCGCTGGCTGGTCTTGCAGGGGACCAAGGTTCTTCAGTTCCCAGCACTCACATGGTAGCTAACAATTGTCCCTTACCCCAGTTCCAGGGGATCCGATGCCCTCTTCTAGCCTCTCTGGGCATTACATGCATGTGGTGTACTTTATATACATGTAGGCAAAACACTCAGACATGTAAAATAGATCCCCAAAAAAATTTAAAAGAAAAGAAAGAAGAATCGTCTTTTGTGAGCTAGAGGCTGGCATGTACTGCTGAGCACAGGAATGAGGCAAGACAGGCCATGGTCTGTGTGCATAGAGCCCAGAAGAGCAAGTTGTAGGGACTGGGTAAGGCCCTGGAGCCCCTCACCTGATCTTGGGACATCAAAGAGGGCTTCCTGGGGAAGGTGGTTTCTGAGCTTGCCTTAAAGGTCTCATGGGATGCATATGGCCAAGCAGACAAGTTGGGGAGGGTAAAGGGAACAGCTTGTTTAAAGGCCTAGAATTTTGGGCTGGAAATGTAGACGTGGGAGACAGTTGGTAGAGTGCTTGCCTACCATGCCAGGGGCCTAGAGTTCAATCACTAGCACCATATAAACTGGGCATGATAGCACATTACCTGTAATCCCAGCACTTGGGAAATGGAGGTAGAGGATCAGGAGTTCAAGGGCATCAGTCAGTTTGCTGGAAGTCTGAGATACTTTCAAACCTGTCCCCAAACAAAAACAAAAGCCCCATGGCCTAGCTCCTGGCTGAGCCCTTGTTTGAGTTGTTTTTCTTAAGCTGAGTGGCCTGTCTGGGCCCTGCCTTTTGTTTTGCAAGGTCTCTGAGTATTTGCCCCAAGCCCAGCCTCCTAAAATGGTATCCTGGGACCCAGTTTATGTCCTCAAGAGCTGCTGGGTCCCCACTGCTTCCTTCACACTCTTTGAGACAAAAACTTTTAAGGACACTAAAAATTAGCCTATTCACTTGTCAAAAGAGGTTGTGTGCCCACTGGAGAAGTCCAGGTGGGACTCACCTTTACTGATCAGATGGGGAAGCAGGCTCAGGGAACAGTGAGGCAGGACAGGAAACCAGACTTCTGCTCCCTTCCCCAGGCTCTTTTTCCTGCTTCTGTGTACTTGAGGCCATGGTACCCTTGAGGCCAGGATCTCAGGGCTGCACCTCATCCTGTCCCATGGCTCTACATGGCCTGGCTGAGGTCTGGCCCTGGCAGCCCTGCCTGTGTCCTCCACTGTACAGATACCCAGGAGGGACAGCCAGTTATTTTGGCTACCAAAGACCTAATATACACTGGGTCTGGGTCAGGTACTCCTGATCCTAGAGCAAGTGGCATTCCTCTTGGGGTCCTGTGGCCCATTGGTGGTGGCACCTGACAAGGTCCCCTTCCCATTCTTCACCAGGGACATTGCAGGTTCGCCTCCTAGGCTGTGAGCAGCTACTGACAAACGTGCCTGGACGTTCTCCGGTGGCTGCGTTGGCAGGCAGCCTCTCTGAGGGCTGGCTCCGAACCAGGGCCAAACAGCATCGTGGTGGAGGCGAACTGGCCAGTGAGTAGGGGGGAACTGTAGGAGACAGTGGGGACCCTTGCCCTGGACCTACCCTGAGTCCCAGCTCTGGCCCTGTAGGCGAGGTGCTGGCTGTATTGAAGGTCGACAACCGTGTTGTGGGTCAGACAGGCTGGGGGCAGGTGGCCAAGCAGTCCTGGGACCAGACGTTTGTCATCTCCCTGGAACGAGTAAGGCCTTTGTGTGGTCAGGGGTAGCTGTGGGCCCCAGGGAGGAAGGCCGACCAGGTGGGGGCTGATTCCACTCCGTTTCTCAGCCTGGTTTTCTCCATGTAGGCTCGTGAACTGGAGATTGGGGTGCACTGGCGGGACTGGCGGCAGTTGTGTGGTGTGGCCTTCCTGAGGCTTGAGGACTTCCTAGACAATGCCTGTCACCAGCTCTCCCTCAGCCTGGTGCCACAGGGGCGGCTCTCTGCCCAGGTTCCTGCTATTCCCTGACCTCTGCCCTGGACTCTTTAAGACTGATACCTTGAGTTGGGGCAATGGCTCCATGGGTAAAGTACTTGCTGCACAAGCATGAGGACCTGAGTTCCGATCCCCAGCACCCACCTAACAGCCAGGTGCCATGGTGTGCATCTATAAATCCCAGTGCTGGCAGAGCAGATGGGTGGATCCCAGGAGCTCGCTGGCCAGACTAGCTGAAACAGCAAACTCCAGATTCAATGGAAGACTCTGTCTTGAAAAATGAAGGGCTGGGTGTAGTGGTGCACACCTTTGATCCCAGGACTTGAGAGGCAGAAGCAGGCAGATCTCTATGAGATCAAGGCCAGCTTGGTCTACGTAGTGCAGTCCAGGCCACCCAGGGTTACAGGGAGACCCTGTCTCACAAAAAAACCAAACCAAAACAAAAAATAAAGTGGAGAGTAGTAGATAAAGACAACTGATGTCAACCACTGGCCTTTGCATAGATGAGCACAGCTGTACACACATACACTCATGCATATATATGCGCACACACACACACACACACACACACACATTCTTCACTCACACAAAGACTGAGAACTGAGGACTGGAGACCAGTCTCCACAAACAAGGAGTCTCAGTGCTTTTCACTGGGAGACGCACATCCCTCCCTGACTTTGCCCAGCTTCCTATGTGACCTTAGACAAAGGCTTCTTTTCTGGGCCTCAGTTTCTCCACTGGTACTAAATAGGATATGGAATCATCTCTGGGACTTGGGCTTTGCCTCCTGGTCTAGTTGCTTTTTGTGGCTGTGATAAAATACTCTGACTAAAAGCAATTTAGGGGACGAAAGGGTTTTGTTTTTTTTCAGTACAGACGTTGCAGTCCATCCTGGGCATCGTCAGGGCAGGAACTCAAAGCAGAAAGCAAAGGATGCCACTTGCTGACTTGGTCTTGGGCTTGCTCATTCTTAGGCGGATTTCTTATACAGTCCAGGAGCCTAGGAATGGTACTGCCCACAGTGCACTGGGCTCTCCTGTGTTGGTTAACAATCTCCCACAGACATGCTTACAGAGCAGTCTGATCAAGGATGACTGGAAGCCATGCCAAGTTGACAGTTAAAGCTTCCTAGGACGCATTCATTGGTTGATATTGGGAGCTGGGGCTGGGGTTCTCAGGGAGTAGGTGCTATGGCCCAGCCAGTGGGGTAGAAGATGACTGGTCTTCCACCAGCTCTGTCTTTGCTCCTACAGGTGACCTTCTGTGACCCTGTCATTGAGAGGAGGCCTGGGCTGCAGAGGCAGAAATGCATTTTCTCTAAGCGCAGAGGTGCAGAGGGTAGAGTCTGTGTGGAGGGGATTGGGTTGGCCCATCGGGATTCTGGGACTGAATTTCACCTGCCTGTTCTAGGCCAGGACTTCCTGAGGGCTTCCCAGATGAACCTCAGCATGGCAGCCTGGGGACGCCTGGTCATGAGTCTGCTGCCCCCCTGCAGCTCACCAAGCACAGTCAGCCCCCCTAAAGGGTGCCCTCCAACCCCAACTGCACCCCGTGGGGCCTCTGACCCTGCTTCCCTCAGGTGAGGAACCACCTCGCCCAGACTGTACTTCTCTGCGGCTTTTACCCACCAGACTCCGTGGGACTCTTGTCTTTCTATCTCTGACCCTCTTTGTCCCTCCACCTGGCCATGTCCATGCCACCAGATGTTCCGTTTTCCTCAGACACACACCCTTCCTCCCTGCAGTAATTTTCTACCTAAGAAGACATCTTTGGGAGAAGACAGGAAACCTCCACCCAAGCCTCCACGCCTCTATCTGTCCCAGGAACCAACCCTGGAGATTCCGGTAAGGGTCTCTGGGGTGGTAGACATGGGCTGCTAGTACTGGCACTGGCCAGCCAGGAGGGAAAGAGGACAGCAGTTGTGTTCTGTCCTGAGCTCTCTGTCCTCACAGCGCACCAAACGTCCTCATATGGAACCTAGAACTGGACCCATGCCCACCCCAACTGCCTCACCCACCAGGTACTCACTGGCTTGCATTCATTTTTTTCCAAGATTTATTTATTTATTTACTTGTGTGTGTATATGTGTGAGAGAGAAGGAGAGGGGGGCATGTGTGGCAGTCAGAGGACAACTTTTTGGGAGTTAGTCTTTCCACTTTGTTCTTTAAAAAAAAAAAAAAAAATGTTATGCTGAGCGTGGTGGCACACACCTTTAATCCCAGCATTTGAGAAGCAGAGGCAGGTGGAGCTCTGTGAGTTCAAGACCAGCCTGGTTTCTATAGTGAGTCCAGGCCAGCTGGAGCTCCAGGAAGACCTTGTCTCAAAAAGACCAAAAAAAGCTGGCTGTGGTGGCGCACGCCTTTAATCCCAACACTTGAGAGGCAGAGGCAGGCGGAGCTCTGTGAGTTCAAGGCCACCCTGGTTTACATTAGTGAGTTTCAGGCCAGGTGGGACTACAGAAAGACCCTGTCTCAAAAAGACCCCCCCAAAAAAATTATTTTTATGTGTAGGAGTATTTTGCCTTCATGTGTATATATGTACAATGTATGAACAGTGCCTACAGAGGCCAGAAGACGGTGTCAGATTCTCCTGGACATGAAGTTACAGATGATTGTGAGCTGCCATGTAGGTTCTGGGAACTGAATCCCAGTTTTCTGCAAGAGAGTCAGTGCTCGTAACTGCTGAGCCATCTCTCCAGCCTTGTTCTTGAGGCAGATTCTCTTATTTCTACCACTGTGATGCCTGTGTACAAGAACTTCAGTCCATTTCTTCTGTCTCTGCCTCCCATATCACCTTAGGAGTGCTGGGGCTGGGGTTACAGATGTGGGCCACCACACCTGGCTTTTTTTTTTTTTAGTGTGTGTATTTTGCTTGCATGTTTGCAAGTACACATTTGTGCAATGCCTATGGAGGTCAGAAGAGGGCATTTGATCCCCTAGAACTAGAATCAAGGATAGTTGTTTGCTGGCATGTGGGTGCTAGGAATCAAACCCAGGTCCTCCGTAAGAGCAGCCAGTGCTTAGCCGGGTGTGGTGGTACATGCCTTTAGTCCCAGCACTCCGGAGGCAGGTGGCAGATCTCTGCAAGTTCAAGGCCAGCCTGTCTACATAGTCAGTTCCAGGCCAGTTGGGGCTACAGGGAGACCCTGTCTCAAAAAGACCAGTGCTCTTAACTGCTGAGCCATCTCTCCAGCCCCTGCATTTGGCTTTTTTACATGGGTTCTGGGGATGGAACTTGTGGGGTAAGCTTTTATTCCCTGAGCCATTTCACCTGCCTGAGACTTCTAGTCTCTTTTGTTTGTTTTGTTTTCTTGAGATGGGGTTCCGTCTATAGCATGCCATTTGGCCTGGAACTCACTATGTAGACCAGGCTTCCTCCATCTCACAGAGCTCCACCTGCCTGTGCCTCTTGAGTGCTGGAATTAAAGGCATTTGCCACCATGCCTAGCTGAACTCTCACTTTTTTGTAATGTGTATGAGTGTTTTACCTGCACTTTTGTGCACCACATGTATGCAGTGTCTACAGAGGCCGGAAGAGGGCATTGGCTCCCCTGGAACTGGAGTTAAGGACAGTTGTTAGCTGCTAATGTGAGTTCTGGGAACCAAACCTACGTCCTCTGCAAGAGCAGCCAGTGTTTGTAACTGCTGTATTGTCTCTTCAGCCCCTTGGACTCATACTTTGGAGCTACAGCTGTATGCCAGGCTTTGGAGAACCACTGTTTTCAGCCCTTGCTAAGGACTCAGCCTGGGGACAGCCAGCCTGGGACAGGGACACCTGACTCAGTCTTTTGTGCCCTTTTTTTTTCTTGCAGAAAACTTCCCCGGCTTCAGGATTTTCGATGTTTGGCCGTGCTGGGCCGGGGACACTTTGGGAAGGTAGTGAGCTGAGGATGGTGTAGCGGGGCTAATGGGTGGGCAGGCTTCAGCATGTTCGTAGGAGATGCTGGGACCTTTGGGTAATGGATGGAGAGGTGAAAGCTCCTTGTCCTGCCTGGAGCCCAGTTTCTTTCTGGTCCCCAGGTCCTCCTGGTCCAGTTCAAGGAGACAGGAAAATACTATGCTATCAAGGCACTGAAGAAGCAGGAGGTGCTGGTCCGGGATGAGATTGACAGGTGTGTGTGACCAAGCGGTATCTGACCCTGGAGGACACCTTGGGTGGCTGGTTTGGGCTCCAGAAGGCAGCCAAAGCTCCCTGGGGCCAGCCAGGTGCAGATTCCCTTTCAACACTTGCTGTTAGGGACTGCATGCCAATGGACAGTCCCCTTGACTCTTAGCACCTCAGTTTGCTGTTCTGTAAAATGGAGCTGTGATAATTGTGTAGGTTCTAAAGCCTCTCTGTATAGAAACCAGAACCCTGCCTCCTTAGCTCTTTGAGCACCCATTGTACCATAGGTATGTGTGGGTGTCAGGGTACAGCCTTTGAGGGTTTCTATTCTGCACCTTCCCCTACAGCCTGTACTGTGAGAAGCGTATCCTGGAGGCTGTGGGTCGTACAGGACACCCCTTCCTCCTCTCCCTCCTTGCCTGCTTCCAGACCTCCAGCCACACCTGCTTTGTGACTGACTTCTTGCCTGGGGGAGACCTCATGATGCAGATCCACGAGGATGTCTTTCCTGAGCCCCAGGCCCGGTGGGTTTCCTGGTTACCTGGCCCTAGCTCCCAGCAGACAAACAGCATGGGGTTAGAGGGTCCTTACTGAAAGTCTTACAGCATATGGACCTGGGGCCTCCCTTGGCTTAGCTCTGGTTATTCAGATTGTTTCCAGAAGAGATGCAATGCTTGCAAATTGCCTAGCACAGGACGGCAGCTGGAGTTGCTTACGATGCTCCAGTGCGGCTCTCATGGAAGAATCTGACTTAGCCCATCACCTTTGACCCATTTTGTGACCCTGGGTATATTCCTGAGTGTCAGTCCCCCTTTAAGTAAAATTCATGATGATTAGCTCCCCCATAGACTGCTGAAAGGAGGCCAGAACTGAGGCCTGAACCCAGGGCTTGGTGCATGCCAGGCAGATGCTCTAGCCCACTAAATTTGGGGTGTTTTTTGTTTGTTTTATTTCCTTATGCTTTCCTCTTTTTGTTTTGTTTTGTTTTGAAGCAGGGACTCCCTGTAGCTCCAGCTGGCCTGGAATTCACTATGTAGACTAGGCTAGCCTCCATCTCACTGAGATCCTCCTGCCTCTGCCTTGTGAGTGTTGGGATTAAAGATGTGCACCACCATGCCTGGCTGATTACTTCTTATTTCATTTCATTTATTTATTATTTTTTAATTTTTAAAAATTTTATATATATGAGTGTTTTGCCTCCATGGAAGTGCACCTGTGTCATACAGTTCCAATGGAGGTCAGAAGAGGGCATCAGATCCCCTGGAACTAGGGTTACTGATGGTTGTTAGCTGCCATTGGGGTGCTGGGATTTGAACCTGGGTCTTCTGCAAGAACAGCAAATCCTCTTAACCACTGAGCTATCTCGCTAGCCCTTTGTTTTGTTTTGTTTTGTTTTGAGAGAGGGTCCCACTATGTAACACAGGCTGGCCTTGAACTTGCTATCCTCCTGCCTCAGCCTCCCAAGTAGCTGGGTTTACAAGGCCTATACTTATCAGGCCCAGAAGCCCTGCCACAGTTGGAGAGCCCAGGAAGGTCATTAGTATGTTGCATTAGTATGTAGCAACATTAAGATGTCTCTAGGCCTTTTCAGCTTGGACACAATGCTTATGTGTCCAGTCTTACCCATGCCTGAATCTCACCCACCGCCAGGACCTTCTGGTGCCTCCCTGGTGCCTAACCTGGCCTGAGTTCTCCCCTTCCAACCCTTCCAGCTTCTACCTGGCCTGTGTGGTCCTGGGGCTGCAGTTCCTACATGACAAGAAGATCATTTACAGGTAGCTTTTGCCCTAGAGGTGCTGGAGTGGTGCAGGGTGGGCCTCTCCCTTCTTTGCTGCTGTGCCCCAGGCCTCTGTCCTCAGCCTTTTCCTTCTGCCCTCAGGGACCTGAAGCTGGATAATCTTCTGCTTGATGCCCAGGGTTTCCTGAAGATCGCTGACTTTGGACTATGCAAGGAAGGTTGGGCCCTTGCCCAAGAACCATATCCTCTAGCCTTAGGCTAGGAAGTCTCTAAATACGGGTACCCTGGTCCCCCCAACCCTGACCTTGATTCCACTCCCTGACCCTTGCTTCGGCAGATGGCTGAGGCATCAGCTCTTCCTAGTCTGTAGTTGGTCAGAGAATCTTTGGTCAGGACTGGAGCGGGGACTGGATTATGCCTTCTGTGACCTTGGCACATTAGCTCAACTGAGGCTCGGCTTCCCTCATGCACTGTCTGCGTGATGACCTTGATCACTCTAGGGACCCTGGCAGGCCTTGACAGGGCTGGTGTTACTTGGCATCATAAAGGTGGTGCTGATGTGTGTGTGTGCACACATATATGTATGCATTTGCATTGCTAGGGTTCACCCCATATCTCACACATGCCAGGAAAGGGCTCTACCACTGAGCCCTGCCTCCATCCTTGGCGTCCATTCTTACAGCCACAGGGTTTGTAGTGGGTCACACCCAGCAGGCGTTGGTCTGGATGTTGATCTACAGGGATTGGTTTTGGGGACCGGACGAGCACCTTCTGTGGCACCCCGGAGTTCCTGGCCCCTGAGGTGCTGACCCAGGAGGCCTACACGCGTGCAGTGGACTGGTGGGGGCTGGGCGTGCTTCTCTATGAGATGCTAGTGGGTGAGGTGAGTGCTGAGTGGGGCAGGCCTGGCCTGGGGGGAGGTGTACAGCTCACATACCCTGCTGAGCCTCTATCTCCACAGTGCCCATTCCCAGGGGACACAGAAGAGGAGGTGTTTGATTGCATCGTTAACACAGATGCCCCATATCCCCACTTTCTGTCTGTGCAAGGGCTTGAGCTCATTCAAAAGGTGAGTCACAGGTCCAGAGCTGGGCCTGGCAGCTGCTTGTAACTTGTGTGTCTCCTGACACCATCTTGGGGCAGCCAGGGCCTAGGGCGGCATGTTCTAAGTTCACACCTGCCCTTCTTGCCAGCTCCTCCAGAAGTGCCCAGAGAAGCGTCTTGGGGCAGGAGAGCGGGATGCTGAGGAGATCAAGATCCAGCCATTCTTCAGGGTGAGTGGCCGGTGAGGTGGCCAGGACCCAGCAGTCCCATCGCTTGGTGGGGTGGCAGGCCTGGGTGACACCTGGGGTCCGCTGTTTCTACTTTCTCAGGGTTCTCTGCTTTGCCTGCAGACCACTAACTGGCAGGCCTTGCTTGCCCGTACTGTCCAGCCCCCCTTCGTGCCCACGCTCTGCGGCCCAGCAGACCTGCGATACTTCGAGGCTGAGTTCACCCGGCTGCCTCCAACCCTGACCCCATCTGCCCCCCGAAGTCCTCTCACCGCTCGTCAGCAGGCAGCCTTCCAGGACTTTGACTTTGTGTCTGAACGATTCCTGGAGCCCTGAGGGCACCTCTGCCTCTCCCTGCCAGACTGTCAGAACTCCGACTTGCCCGTGTGTCCAGGGCCAATCTATTCAATGAGTGTGTGGGGTGATGGGGGCCATGAGGCTGTTGTTGCGGGCTTTCCTTGGTGTCACTGGGCAAAGTGTGTCCCTTCTGTCACCCATCTTCCTCTTCCTAACAAGACAAAGACCAGAAAGGGGCACATGGCAAGGCATGGTTTGTCTTTTAATACTTGACTTTATAGACTATTAAATTAATAAAACTACACTACAGGTAGTCCAGCCAAGTGGATACAAGTGCACTTTGGGGTCCCTTGTGCCAGGTTCCCCTACTTTTATCACCCTCCTCCCCATCCTCTGGGGGAGGCAGGGATTCTGGCTGCTGCTGCTGAGGGCTGGGAGCCCTGGTGCTCTAGGGCGGATTCCTGGTTGGTACAGCTTCTGCTTTTTAGGCACAACGGCAGCTTTCTCAGCGGTGACCCTAGACAGCCTGGCTGCTGCCTTCCTCCTCCTCCTCCTCCTCCTCCTCAGCCCAGAGGCTCTCCCAGGGCCCGGAGGGCCAGCCACAGAAGAAGTGGACCAGGTTTCGAGTCAGACCACGGTCGAAGGGGTTGCTGGTGCGCTGGCGGAGGTAGGCGATGCGATGTGCTGAGATGAACTCCCATGTGGTAGTGTTGCTGGCCACCAGGTAGAGGTGTGAGGCCAGAAGCAGGCTGACCACCAGTGAGAACAAGGACAGGAGAAGGAAGGTGGCAAACAGGAGCCCGCTGGAGCGCAGCCACAGCCCCCAGGGCTGGGAGAACCGGAGGCCAGACCTATAGGACAGGGGAGTTCAGGGGAGACCCACCTTCCTAAGTAGGTCCCAGGGAGTCCTGGCTCCTGTGAGGACATGCTGTCCACACTCCCCAATGCCTGGGTGGTGGTGGCACCTACCATGCCAGGTACAGGCCCCACAGGAGCACCACCAGCTGCAGCACCAGATAGGCCACGAAGAGTGGGTGGTTTCGTTCGCCTACGCAGTTCTCCATCCAGGGACAGTGGTGGTCATAGCGACGGATGCAGCGGCGGCAGTCACGACAGTGTCGGGCTCGCAGGGGCTGCTGTGGGCACAGGGGAGTTGGGGCTCAATGCTGGTTTCCCCCAGTGGGCCCTGTACTGAAAGGCCTGAAGGTCAGGGTCAGGTCCTGAATCTGGGAAGTCTTCCTAGAGGAGAGGCAAGGCTGGGGTGCCAGGGTAGTCTCAGTTGTGCCCTTTCCCCTCCCACAAAGTATCACCTACCAGCACTAGGCAATATCTGCATCGCCGAAGTGGGATAGCCTGAGGAACCATGGCCATCTGCTCATCCTTGGACTCCTGGGAACGAGAAAGAGGGTCTGGGGCGGGGGTCTCGCTAGGAGGCAATAACACTGGGGCGGGGGCACCTCCCTCAGGAACCAGTTTTACTCTGGATGTGATGGGCTTGGGGCCCATCCCATGAAGAACAGAGGTGTGGACAGACTTGAGCACTGGACACTGGGCAAAGCTGGGTGGCCTTTGCCACTGGGTCTTGGTGATTTCCTTATTGTGGGATCAACACAAAGGGCTGGCGAGAGGATTCTCCAAGATGCCCCACAAACCCTGCCGCACAGGGCCTGGTATAGACACATTTCCGGGGTCTCACTTCCCTGTTAACCCAAGGAGGAGTTTGGACCTCAGGGGCCCCTGGTTACCTGAGGCTGAGGCTGAGTGTTCACATAGCCGGGGTCCATGAGTGACACAGCCAGATAGAGTAACAAGGAGGCCAGCACCAGGAGCAGGAAAGTGAGGGGCAGGAGTAGCTCTCCCTGTTCCTCCCATTGCCGCAGCTCTGAGGAGGTGAGAGGACAGTGAACCAGGTGGGCCTCAGCAGAAGGGCAGGGCTGGGTGTAGGAGGGAGGGGAAAAAGAGTCCTGGGTCCTCAAAGAGAATAGGACCAATTGGTCCAGATGCTGCTGAGGGGAGTCCTAACAGGCTAGGAAGGGCCCAGAGAGTTTCAGCCCAAGGTCGTGAATGAGGATTCTGGGGAGGTGGTAGGACTGGGCTGTGCAGGAACTCAGGTTTTCTGGGCCGAAAGGGTGCCGGGAAGGAGGCTTGGAAGGGAGCTCTTTCCTGATAGGGAAACCTGAGCACATTTTAGGAGGCCGAGCAAAGGCAGTGGAGGAGGCTGGAGCCACAGTTTTGGAGACTGCTGCTGGGGGCTTGGGGAAGCCAGAGGTGGGGGGGGGGCACTGGGGCATGATGGGAATGGAAGATGGGTGACCTGCTCTTCCCCTCTAGGGGTGTTGTCTTGCCTGAGTGGGGAGTCTGGACTTGGGCACTTAGTGCTCCCAGGTTGGGGTTGGTGGTAAGTGTTGAGGCGGAAGTCAGTGTTTGAACTTAATTGATCCTCTTAATCCTAAGCAGGAGAGGTTGGGAGGCGATTTCTGGAATGGGGTGGAGTCCAGCGTCAGGGGAGATGGGGGTCTAGTTGGCCCTCGGATTTGATGGGACTGTGGGTGGCTGGGACATCGATCAGTGACAGGGAGATTCTGGGATTCATTACGAATTAACTGGGTATCAGGCTGCGAGCGGATGCGGAAGGCGCCTGGGCTGGTGGAGATGGGAGGGCATCTCGGCACGTCTGTGCGTTGGCGGGGGGACCGGGCAGGATCGGGTGTGCCCGGGCTGCCGCGGGGTCCGGCTCACCGGTATCGTGCAGGAAGAGTACCAACGTGATCCCCCAGGTGAGCACGGTGTGCCCGGTCCGGACCAGCACCCCAGGGCTAACGAGCGCCCAGGGCGCCATCGCTGCTGCCCCGGGCCCCACCCGGAAGAAGCGCCCCGAGGGGCGGGCCTCGGAGGGAGCGGGGCCACGACCGCCCGGGGATTGGCGGGTGTGGGAGGTAGGCGGGGCCTGGCGGGCTGGAGGACGCTGTGGATTGGGTGAGACCTGCGGCCCGGGGACCCTCAAGCCAACAGGTGCCGGTGGAGGCCGAGGGCGGGCCGGGAGCGCACAGCGTCAACACCCGCCCCCACCGGCCAGGTAAACTTTGCGATGCGGGGAGCCGGGTGCAGCTGGCCTGCAGTCCATGGCTCCGCCCCGCGGTCGTGCGCATGCGCACCGTTCCCTGGACGCTGGCGCATGCTTTGATTGTAGGAGGCCAAATGACCAGGTGCAATGGGCGAGGTCCGGAGCGGGTAGAGCCTCCCCAGGTTGCACCACGATGACACCTTCCCTGTTGTTTATTTAAATATTTTGTTTTTTATTTTATGTGCATAAATGTATCGCCTATATGTAAGTGCACCCGTGTCATGCAATGCCCATGGTCATGTAATGCCAGTGGAGATCAGAAGAGGGCGTTAGAGCCCCTGGAACTGGAATTACAGATGGTTGTTAGCTGCCATGCGGGTGCTGGGAATCCAATCTGGGTCCTCTGCAAGAGCAGCCAGTGCTCTTAACTGCTGAGCCAGCGCCTCTGGTTTCTACATAATTCAAAGGATGATGATGATGATGATGATGATGCTAGTACCTGCTAAGATGCCTTGTCATCGCCTGTCAGAGGATGATGAGAAAGTGGAGGTTTGTGGTGCAAGTTCTGGTTAAGAATAGTCCAGCTTGACGCCGGGGGTGGTGGTCACTCTCTAATCCCAGCACTCAGGAGGCAGAGACAGGCGGATCTCTGAGTTCCAGGCCAGCTGGGGCTACAGGGAGACCCTGTCTCAAAAAGACCAAAAAAAAAAAAAAAAAAAAAAGCCTACTAAAACACCTCAGAGCATTTCAATAACACTCATGTGGGCCGTCCTATGTCTCTTACTCTAAGCCGGACCATTCTTGGTTTCTTGGTTTGGTTTGGTTTTGACACAGAGTCTCTGTGTAGCCCCAGCTGGCCTGGAACTCACTGTGTAGACCAGGCTTGAACTCACAGAGATCCCTGCCTCTGTGTCCCCGAGTGCTGGGATTAAAGGCGTGCACCACAATGCCCAGCTTTTTATTTGGAGACAGGGTCTCACTAAGTAGACCAGGCTGCCTTAGATCTCACAGATATTGCCTGCCTCTGCCTCCTGAGTACTGGGATTAAAGGCATAGGCCACTAGGACTGACTTCTGTGTGTGTGTGTGTGTGTGTGTGTGTGTGTGTGTTGTATGGTCAAAGGACAACCCCAGGTGTCAATTTTTTATTTATTTTTTTTTGTCTTTTTGAGACAGAGTCTCTCTGTAGCCCCAGCTGGCCTGGAACTTGCTATTTGACTAGGCTTACCTTAAACTCACAGATCTGCCTGCCTCTGTCTCCTCCTGAGTGCTGGTTCTAAAGGCGTGCGCCACCATGCCCAGGTCTCTTCAATTTTTGAAACAAGGTCTTATGTAGCAGCTTAAAGTTTTTTTAAAATTACATTTATTTATTCATTTGTCTATGTTGGTGTGTGTGACATGGTGCCCATGAAAGTCAGAGGACAACTTGCAGGAGTAGGCTCTCTCCTTCCACTGTGTGGGTCCTAGGGATTGAACTCAGTTCATCAGGCTTGGCAGCAAGCACCCTTTCCTCCTGAGCCACAATTTTTTGGGGGGTCATTTTGAGAAAGGGTCTCCCTGTAGCCCCAGCTGTCCTGGAACTCACAATGTAGACCAGGCTGGCCTTGAACTCAGATACCTGCCTGCCTCTGCCTCCGGAGTGCTTGGGGTTAAAGGTGTGTGCCACCACACCTGGCTCTGAGCCAGTTTTTAATTAGAGCACTTGATGGGTGAGCTGGACAGGTAGCAGAATGGTTAAGAGTACTTGCTGCTCTTAAAACCTGAGCTCATGTCACAGCACCCACATCAGGCAGCTCATACCCACCTTTAATTCCAGCTCCAGAGGATCCAATGCCCTCTTCCCATCTCCTGAGGCACTCACATGCATGTGGTATACATTCACACAGACACACACACACACACACACACACACACACACACATACACATAAAGAAAAATCTAAGAGTCCGAGTGCAACCGGTTCTGTGCTATGTGCTGAGGCTCAGCACAGCCCTGACAATTGTCACAGTCCCACGGGAGAGGTAGACAAAGCAACATGAGCCCCATGAAGCAAGCAGGTGCTGTGACAGGGTAAACAGAAGGCAGAGCATTCAAGAAAACAGGCCAGTCACACGCCTTTGATCCCAGCACTTGGGAGGCAGTGGCAGGCAGATCTATGTGAATTCAAGGCCAGCCTTGTCTACATAGTGAGTTCCAGGCCAGCTGTGGCTATAGGGAGACGGTCTCAAAAAGCCAGGAAAAAAAAAAAGGCACAGGAAACAGCAAGCCCCAGGGCTGGAGCAGGGGGCCTTGGTGCACCTGGGAAGCCCAAGCTCTCTCCTTTGCCCTGGTACTGAGGCAGAGGCAGGCATCACTTCAGCCTTTGAAGTGGCTTCTGTGTCCCTGTCTATGAAGTTATCCTGAGGGCTGTGAGGAAGCAGAACACACAGGGAACATGGAGCATAGGCCACAACGCACAGATGGAGGTTTCTGCAGCACCAGCTGTGATGGCAGGACCTGTCAGGCTCTCCTGTTTCCTCTCAGAGTTGGATGACCCACCAAGATTCAAGGGCAAACCTCCTGTATCTGATTCCTCTTCTGCCCAGGCCCAGTGGGTCCCCAGTGGCAGGGGCCTCTCATCCAGGGTGACTAAGGTGTGGGCTCTGCTTAGGGGGAAGTGGGGGCATCTATCCCACTGAGGCTATAGTCAGAACACCAGCTCCCAGGAATGTTTGGTCTGGTCCTGGTGCTCCCACCCGCACCCTCTCTGTAGTCTGGAGGGAAGCTGACCGTGTAGTTTATTATCCATTCAGGAAGCTCAGAAGGCGTGAGCACTGCTGAGTTGCACTAGGAAATGGGTAATACGGGGCTGTTGTTCCAGGCAAAGCTTGACTCTGGTCACCTCAGGTTTGTTCCCAGCCACTTAGCCAGTCTACAACCCCATGTTCCTTACCCTGCTGCCACCCCAAGGGCTGTTTCCCTGTTCCCCTGACAGGATCCTCTGATGGGATGCTTTCCCCAAATGCTCTAGGGCCAGGCTTAGCAGGCTCCATCTCTCTGCTGGGTTTAGCTCGGATGTGTGGGAGATACTGTGTCAGCTCTTCCCTCAATCTTGCAGGACGCTGCTCAGCACCCACCAGTCTCCTGAGCCACTGCCCCGTTCCTAGCAGCCTGCAGGAGGCACCTTTCCCTTCCTTTGTTTCACAGGGCTGTGAGCATCCGTCTACCACGTGCATCTCCCAGCAGTGCCATCCTGGCAGGGGCTCTGCTGGTCTGTGGCTGGCAGTGATCTCGGTGTCTAGTCACAGAGATGTGAAAGGTGTTACAAAGACATACTCACCTCAGTCTGTTCCCAGCCTGTATGCAGGTACATAAACCCACCAAAAAGCCTGTGGGTTTTTGAACCACCCATACACCAGGCTCCTCTTGCTGGGGTCCCCCAACCCCTTTCCTACCAGCCCCCCCCCCCAGTCAGCATCCCCATCCCATCCACAAAAGACACTTCATTCCTCTGCACTTTGCACAAAAATGTATTTCTGTGACATCCCAAAGTACAGACATTTCCCCAGGCCCCAGGTAGTAAAGCAATGGGGTGTGAACTCTGCTCAGGGTCTGGCTGGGCCGAAAGGCCTGGGATGGTAGGGAGGGGCTGGGCTGAGGTTGCCCCTCTGCTGCATGGCATGGGAAAGCACATAGCTAAGCCCTCTGGCCAGGGGGACAGGTTCCTCAAGTGAGGCCGGTTGCCCCTTCTGCATGGAGATGGACATGCCAGGAAAATCCAAAAACAGGCCCGGGGAGGGACGAGGGAGTAAAAAGCCACACGGAAGGCTGTCTCTAGGGTCAGCTCTGCTTCCCAGGCCTGCTTCTTGGCACTGGCCTCCTCAGCAGCCCCATGTCCCATGAAAAGCAGTGAAAGGTGCAGCAAGGGTCGAGATGTCTGGAGACAGCTGCTGTCACAGTGCCTGTGACACAGTGCAGCAGCGTCCGGGGGACAGCCTGAGTGTGCTGGAGGAGCAGAGGGCTGTCCAAGTGCTGGTCTAGAGGTGCAGCCCACTGCCACTGTGACTGTCTAGGGATCTCCTGCCTTCGGAGGGAGGCAGCTATGGCGACTTCTGGGTAGCGGGGTGGGCTCAGTTCTGCTGGTGGGAGTGCCTGTGCACCTGGGTGTGGCCTGATGAGGACTACAGAGCAAGACCCTGCCCAGAAAGTTGGGGAAGGCTGGGGGTAGGTGGGGGCATTTGGCGGAAGGGGCAGTGGACTGCCCCTGAGCTCTGACCACCCCTGGGCTGGGGCCTTCAACAGCCTGGGGCCTGAGGGAGACTCAGGCAGCCTCCATAGCAGCATGGCCGCAGGCAGGCCCGGCCAGAGAGCAGTGGGCCAACTGGAGCCCTGTACTTCCATGGTTCTCTAGAGCAGGGGCTCAAGGCCTGGGATGGCTCAGTCTCTAGCCCCAGATGGCCCACAGCCCGGAGCACCAAGGCTTCTGGGAGACCCAGTGGGGTTAGTCTCAATCCCCAAACCCCATCAGCCTCACCCGGGAGCCCAGATGTGGAGCTTGGGGGGGGTGGGGGTGGGAGATGTTGAGGGTGTGGTAAGAGCCTGCTCCAACCAGGACAGAGAGAAGCCAGGCCAGGGTCTGAGCTCATGGGAAGGGACTGGACACTCACAGCGTCAGAGGCAAGCCTGGCTGGGGCAGGAGCGAGTGTGGCGGCCTTGAAGGCTGGGAGGTGGGCTGAGAATGGCCAAGGGAGCGGCAAAGACTCGGGAGACTGCTTTTGCTTTTGTACAGAAATCATACACACAAAACTTCACACTTCCTAACCAAAAAAAATATATATATATAATATATATATATCTCACTAATGTTAAGGAAAAGCGTCGGTTGTGCAAAAGTCCCTCTGTCTCATCCTGTGGGAGGCTCCGGAAGGGGTCTGCCCACTGGGCCTGCAGCGCTTCCTCTGGGCCTCTGGTCCAAGCACTGTGGCCGTGGGTGGAGGCCTCTATCTGGACGTGTCCATGTTCTCCTCTCTAAAGTTACCGCAGTGCTCAATCACCTTGCTGGATACAACAAGGAGAGAACATCGGAGGGTGGGCTAGCAGAGCCGCTCCTCTGGGGGATCAGTAGTTGCTTAACCAACCTGAGAGAACCCGACACCAAATGGGATGTCTGCCCATCTTCCCATGCCCCATACTCTACCCTCAGCTCAGGGCAGTAGGTTCTACCAGCAGCTCAGGTCTCAGCTCCCAAACCCACTGGTCTTAAGCATCTTCCCTGCACACTGGCCCTTCCTCTCTCCACAAGCCACTAGGGGTCACCAAACGTATGTCACAGTCATACAGAACAGATTCATGCCTGGAGCAAGAAAGCCATGCTGGATCCAGGGCCTGCTGTCCTGTGGCAGTCAGGACTCAGTGCCCCAGCTCAGCCTGCCTCCTGGAACTGCTGCCCACTGTTGCTAGAAATCATCTTGGACCTTGTACTGCCTGCCAGTCTAGTCGACATGAAGCCTCTGGGCTGGAGGGTTCACTGCAGCCTCCGTGTACCAAAGGGGTATACCCAGGCCCTTTTACAAGGAAATGCCCAGAGTGGGCCAGAGAGCTCTGGGCATGCTGAGTGCTCCTGCCTGTTCCAGGACAACCCAAGCCTCGATGTCAGATCTGCTGGCTCAGGCCTCAGGGTACTGAGGTACCTCACTGACCAGACCCACCTAGGGATTCTCAAGCTTCTCGGGAACTCTGTTTACCAGGGACAGCCCTAGGCCTATTAGAAAAGAAAACCCCTGGGATGAGGCCTGTTCGGTTCTAGCACTTTCCTGGGACTCCTGAGGGAGATTCAGTCTGAGGGTCCCTCCTGACACTTTTCTCCAGCTCAGACCAATCTGTCATTTAGTGTAGAAGTGATGCCTTTCATCAGAAACAATGGCAGGGCCAGCTGACGGCTCCAGCCCATGAGGGCACAGTGGGGGTGCTCTGAGCCCAAGGTTACACATGTTCAGAGTTGTGACAAAGGTCATGAGGGAAGGCCTGGGTGCTCTCCCTTCCAGAATAGAACCAAGAGAGGAAGGTCATTACTTTGATTCTGGCCTGTGGCACGGAAGTCCAGGTACACACATCAGGGGCTAAGTCAGAACTGGTGTTTTAGACCCAACACTGAATCCCACACAGAAACAAAAGGCCAGTGAGGACGCTGCCATGCCCCTGACCTTCACACTGATGATGTGTGGTGTGTCTGTGTGCATGTATCTGTGTGGTGTGTGTATGTGCTAGGGATGGGGCCTTGCATATGCTAGGCAAGTGCTGTACCACCAAGCTTCATTCTCAGCCCAATAGAGCAATTCTTCCCCTATAACCTTCATATTTGCATTCAGAGAAACTAGCACTCTGCCCCACGTAGCCTCTAAATGTTCCTCTTTCATTGGAATAACTGGAAAAAAAGAATGCAGAGTTCTTGCTGATGGCCACTGCCAAGGAGGGAGCTGGTTGGGAATCAAAGGAAGCAAGGATTACAAATAAGCAAATTTGCTCCATCAGCAGCTTGAGCCTCTCATCTCCTGCCTTCTGTGGGTGAAATGGCACACACCCATGTCTATGTGACTCAACCTTGAGTGGCCCTGGAACTCTGGCCATTCCCACTGTACCCTTGTCCACCAGCTGGAACACACGGCTTGTCTCTTACCGGGCCATCTCCTTGGTCTCCTGCCGGGCAGCAGCCATCTTAATCACATCCCTCAGCAGGGGCATCCCACCTTCTTTGATCAGCAGGGGGCAGTACTTGTCAGCTGTAAGGTAGCAGGTAGCTGAGGACGGGTAGCCTTCTACCAGCCTGTGCCCTAGACACCTTCCCTTGCTTCTGGGACACCCAAAGAGGGATGCCTGAAGAGTGGGGGCACTACTAGGAGTAGGGGGCAAGCTGACTGCCAGCCTCCTGGGTCTACCTAGGTGGCAAGGGCTAGTCCTTGGGAGAGAGCCTTCCCTACTTGGTTCCAAGTTGCTACATTTCCCAGTTTGTCCTATGGGAAATTTCATCCCTACCAGGGACCTGAGGCAGGGTGGTCCTGAGGTCTTAGTCCAGATCTAGTTCTCTCACTCAGCCCTGGACCCTGATTCTCCAGTTCCCCAGGCCAGCGACCTCTATTTATGGAATTGCTAATAAAACACCATCTGGTGATTGTGGTGACCACCCAGGCTGGAACCATGGGTGTTGTTCTGCCCTGCAGGCACAGGGAGACAAAAGTTCACTCAAAGGGCAGACAGGAGGCATTAGGGAAGCCACACTGGTGCAGTGGGGCCAGCCATCACCCCAGCATCCCTCTTGCTCTGAGGCACAAGGCCAACAGCAACTCTTTGTGTTCAGCTGGGTGCCAGTGTCCTGCGGGCACACTGTTCAGCTGACAGCAGGTGAGCACTTACGGTAGACAGACACCAGGTTGTACAGGGCCCAGGTGGCCCAGTGCTGGCTGACAGGAGAGATGCCCTGGGGAAGGAGGCGGAGGATGGGCTCAAAGGACCTGCAGAGAGAGCAATCCCATCATCTTTGAGACTGGGGAAGCTTGTGTCTCCCCCCACCCCAACCTCCCTAGGGGCAGGAAGGGCAGGTATGCGGGATGCAGAGGGTCCCACTGTGGGTCCCCTCAGGAGAAATGAAAGCAAGAGCAGCAGCTTGAGGCAGGAAGGGCCTGATGGGGCCAGATTGCTGCTGATCTCAGCACCTGGAGGAGCCAGTTGGGGGGTGCCTGGGAACAGGGGATAGGACAGCCTGCAATTCAGAGCCCCAAATCTCAAAACCGGACAAAGTCTCATGAGGGGGGCTGGAGAGATGGCTCAGTGGTTAAGAGCACTGGTTGCTCTTGTAGAGGACCCAGGTTCAATTCCCAACACCCATGTGGCAGCTAGCAAGTGTCCGTAACTCCAGTTCCAGGGGACTCTGACACCCTATTCTGACCTCCACAGGCATCACATGACACATGACACAGGTGCACTTACATACATGCAAGCAATACACTCATACACATAAAGATAATAAAATATTTTTTGAAGCCTCATGAGGGGCCTGCAATTGAGTTTCTTTCCCAGGAACCTGGAGCCGGGGCCCAAATCCATCCTCCCAGTGACTTATTAGCTTAAATGACCAGCTACACATCAGGGCGAGAAGGAAGAAAGCAGCTTCCACAGGGCGGTGAGGAAGACAGGACCTGGTGACCATAACCAGTCACAGTACAGTGAGAACCGAGGCCAGCCCGGTGCCAGGGGCACCATTACAGTGATCATGTGCATTTCTCCTTGAATCAAGCATGTGTAAACACAGGCCTTGGGCACAGAGGTGCTGATAACTAGGACTCATACCCCATCACACAGGTGGCCCTGGTCCAGCATACTGGGTCCAGTGAGTGAGAGCGAGGGCCTTCAGAGGACAGGAGCGGGGACAAGCTCTAGCCATACACGTGGTGACGAGCGCCGCCCACCTCTGTCCACGCCCACACCTGTAGTTGATATTCCTTCGGGAGTTGATGTCCCAGCTCTGGATAGCCACCCACATGCGCTCCTCTACCTCTGCCCGCTGGGGTTCACAGACACCCCAGGCCTCAGGCCCATCAAACATGATGTGGGAGAGGACGCCACAGGCATTGTAGGAAACCTCGATGCCATCAGCCTTACTCTCCAGCAGGTTGCTGTCAGGAAGAAGACAGGAAAATTCATCTCACACTCGATGTGTGACACTGGGTATGGAGGTGCTATCACTATCATCCCCGTCTCAGCCTCCCGAGTGCTGGGATCACAGGTATGACCACCAGGCTCAGCCATCTTGTTACTTAGGTCTTTATTTATTTATTTATTTTTTAAAGGCAGGGTCTTATGTAGCCCAGGCTGACCAAACTTGCTATGTAGTCAAGGCTCCTCTTGCTTCTAACCCCCAAGTGCAGGGATTACAGGCATGTGCCACCACATCCAGCCACTTGTCATTATACTCAGAGTCCCTCAAAAAGGGATTTGAAGTTACTGCCATTTTTGGGAGGTTGACAGAGTAAGAAAAGCATTACAGAGAGAAGGCATTATTAACAGAGAAACCTGGACTAAGAGTAGCTGTGGCCACTACATACAGACTACTGCTCTGAGCATCCTGGCAGCCAAAGCAAGAAGCACCAACCTGAAGACGCTGATGAACTGGGAGGTCATCAGCTGAGGCCGCAACTCCCTCACCTCCGCCACATTCCCCAGCAGTCCCAGCATATTCCGGTGCAGTTCCTGCTTCTCTGGGAATTCCTGGTAAAATGAGAGTCGTGTGGGCCTTTGTGCCCAATGGCTTAGCCTCTTATTGTTACCCTGAAAGCTTTCTGGGCACCTAACCATTCCATCTAGTCAAAGGAGGGGCACAGTCAGCTACCCCCACTTTCCAGTGCTTCCATGGCAGAGCCTGGGCACACAAGACGGGGAGCAAGAAGATCGCACTTCCTAGAGGCTGTGGAGAGCTGATACTGCGGTTCTACTTGCCTCAGCTCAGGACAGTCCTGTGTGGGGACCCTTCAGAAGCCTGAGCAGGAACACAGGGTCTGTTCTAGAACAGCAGGCCTACCTACTGGGAAGACTGTGTCTAGCTAGCAGGAGACTGAATGCTGGGCAGTCGAGACTGCTGAGAATAGGAGCTGGGGTCCCTTGGCAGCTACGTGGCATGGCTGAGGAGAGGCTCTGTTAACAGCAAATGCCATGAGGGGCGGGGGCCGAGGGGCAAAACCTGAGTCATTCATGTCCTGTGTGCCTGTGGGAGGTCTGTGTGGGTGCTGAGGTATTGGCCAGTGGGAGCCAGAGTCAGGATGGCTCACAGGTTAGGGTGGCAGCCTGCAGGGTAGAGTGGTGACTGCAGAGTGGGGTGGCAACCTGTGGATGTGGGGTAAGGGCATGTGGGGTGGTAGCCCAGGCTGGACCTACCTTCAGGCAGTCAAGAAAGAGCTTCATGCCATTGAAGTTAAGGAACATCTCACAGTTGTCAGGTGTCTCGTCTGTGATGTTCCACAGGGCGCTCCAGGAGAACTCCATGACCTGGTCACACTGTGGGGGAGGCTCAGCTCAGCCATGTCTCCCAAGGACACACAGCTGGCCCCAGCAGAGAAGCCGCTGGGGCTGGGGTGAGGACAGAGTGTGCAGAGACTCTGCTTACCGTCTTATCCAGCAGTTTCTTTTGGATCAGCTTCAACATGGTCTGTGGGCAGAGGAGAGAGTCTGGGGAGAGAGGCTGCTGGAGGCCAGGGCACCTCATAGCCCAGGAGCCCTGGCCTAGAGGGAGCCTGGTAGCCTCAGGGGATACAGCCCGACAGTGCCCGTTCTACACAGCTTCTCAGGACACTGTCCCAAGGTGTTCAAGGACAGACCCTTGGCACTTGGGTGATGGCACTGGCAAAGCCCTTCCTTGCTATGGGGTGTGCTTCCTCAGTGATAAAGTGAGGGGGGCGATGCATGCTCTTTAATTCCTACCTCATCCTTGTCCCTTGAGCTAGTCTAGGAAGTGCTGCGGGCCAGCCCTGAGTCTCCCTATAGAGCTTACTGAGTGGGGGCTGAATGGAGGAGGTTAGAAGATGAGGGAGAAGTCTATGCAGTCATAAGCAACAGTTGTCATTAAGAAACTCTTCCAAGGGTTTAAGTGTAGCTCAGTGGTAGAACACTTGCCTAGCATATGCAAGGCCCTGGGTTCAATCGCTCTCAAGCCTCTCTCTTGCCCTTCCCCCCCAAAAAAGGAAGGAAAAGAGAAAAGATGTGCTTCCTTTGGTCTACCCTAAAGCCTTCATGCTTCAGCAACACCCTCTGCCCACCCACTCCTACCTCCGGCTCCAGGTCCTCCTCTGAGGCCCTCACTCACAGTAGAGTTGTAAAATATGACAGGATGACAGGGGAGGGCTCCCATAGAAGCAGGCAGGCAGGCAGCTGCCAACACATACCACGACAAAGCCCATCTTGCCCACGGCCTCCTTATGGTCATTGTCCACCTGGCAGACGAGGGCATTGCACAGGTGCACAGCAATGCGCTGGATGGACTCATCCTGCCGGGTGGGGTTGAGGATGCTGAGCAGGAGCTCGTTGACCCGCCGGTACTGGAACTCTAGCTCCTCAGGGATGCTGAAGTTACAGAGGGTCAGGCAGCAGTTCCGCTGTACCTGGGCCGGGTCGGGAGACAAGCAGAGCTCGTTCAGGAACAGACTTGGGAGCTGACAGAGCTTCCTGGAGGCCCAAGACTTCCCAGAGCTCAGGAGAACATGAAGCCTCTGTGAGAGGAAGCTACAAGTCTTTTTTTGGTTGGTACTAGGCCTCAACTCACTATGTACCTGAGGCTAGCCTTGAAGACCTGATCTTTCTGCCTCAGTCTTCCAATGCCTGGGATTACAAGTATGTATCACCATACCCAGCTAAGACTTTTGTCTTTTCATTTTTATTAAGGCTATTCTATTTTTTAAGTACATTTATTAAAATTTTAATTTCATGTATGTGTTGGATAGCTTGTGTCAACTTGACACACCTGGGTCGAGGAAGCCTCAATTGGGAAACTGCCTTCATTGGACTGGCCTGTGGCCATGTCTGTGGGGCATCTTCTTGATTGATGAGTGATGTGGGAGGGCCCAGTCCACTGTGGGTGGTGCCACCCCTGGGCAGGTGGGCCTATGTTGTATAAGAAAGTAGGCTAAGCAGGGGCCAGGGGAGTAAGCCAGTAAAGCAGCATTCCTCCATGGCCTGTGCTCCCTCCTGCCTCCAGGTTCCTGCCCTGAGTTCCTACGTTAGACTCCCTGAAGAACTGTGACAGAGATGTAAGCTGGATAAAGCCTTTCTTCCCCAGGTTGGTAGTGGTCAGAGTGTTTTGTCACAGCAACGGAGAAACAAACTAGGACAAAGTACGAGTGTTTTGACTGCATGTATGCAAATGTACCAGTGTCATGCAATGCCTGAGGAAGCCAGAAGAGGGCGTAGGCTATTTCCTGAAACTGGAGTTAAAGACTATTTCTTAGTCCCTTTGTGGGTCCTGGGAACCGAACGTAGGTCCTCTGGAAGAGCAGCCAGTGCTCTTAACTGCTGAGCATCTCTCCATAGAATATACAAAAGCCACAAACGTACCATTTCATAATTTAAAAACAAGAGCCACCTAACTATTACCTAGTTCAAGAAACTGACCATTGCCAACACCCACAGGCCTTTTCCAGTCATTAGATCCAGCCTAACCCTGCCCAGTTGCTGCTTCCTGCATCTTTCTGTTCAACAAGATTCAAAGACCCAGTGTTGTTACCTGCAGCTGAGATGTACTCAGCATTCACGTTATATCATGACACCCCGATTTATCCATCAACTCTCCTGCTAACGGACTTTGGTCACTGTGTACAATATGTTAAACATACCTTCTGGCGTCTGTGGTATGAGCTGCTCTAAGGCCCATGTGCTTGGGACATTTCTTGGTTATTGGTTTTGAGAGAGTCTCATACAGCTGAGGCTGGCCTCAAACTCAGTACATAGGCAAAGATGACCTTGAGTTGGGCATGGTGGCACACACCTTCAATCCCAGCACTCAGGAGGCAGGGGTAGGCGAATCTCTGTGAGACTGAGGCTAGCCTGGTCTACATACTGAGTTCCAGGCCAACTGGGGCTACAAGGAGACCCTGTCTCAAAAACAATAGCCAAAAACAAAAACGACCTTGAACTCTGATCCTCCTGCCTCTACCTCCTGAGTGCTGGGATTATAGGTGTGTGTCACAAGTCTGACTTGCTGGAGGGATTTCTGGACCACAGTGGCATGTGTCATCAATATGACTAGATAACCCCAGACTAATGTCTAGGCACTGGCTTGCAGTCCTCCAAGCCATGTCCCAGCACTCTGGCCATTTCCCTCTCTAACTCTCTTTTCTTTTTTCTTTCTTTTTTTTTTTTTTAGTCTTTTTTGAGGCAGGGTCTCCCTGTAGCCCCAGCTGACCTGAACTCACTATGTAGACCAGGCTGGCCTCTAACTCACAGAGAGTGCTGGGGTAAAAGGTGTGCACCAGCACACCTGGCTTAAGCAATCTTCTCCTGATCTACATGACTCGGACCCAAACATTGCACTGTCCCCATTACTTAATTTCCTGCCTTTCCTATGACATACTGACGTTCAGGTATTTTATTAATCACGAAATTTAGAGGGCACTGACCCTTAGAATTTTTGTTCTTTTCCATTTTTATCATACATGTATGTATGTACATACACACATTTTTTGCAGTACCGGGAACTGAACCCAGGACCTCATGCCTTATTTATGCAAGGCAGGTACTCTGTCACTGAGCTCCACTCACAGCCATATTTTTTTGTTGTTTTTGAGACAGGGTTTCCCTGTAGCCCCAGCTGACCTGGAACTTGCTATGTAGACCAGGTTGGCCTCGAACTCACAGAGATCCACCTGTCTCTGCCTTCCATATGTTGGGATTAAAGGTGTGTGCCACCCTGCCTCACGCCCCATGTTTTTGGAAAAAGTTTATTTTAAATTATAAAAGCAATACAGTGCAAGGTTTATACAACACTGCCTGTGTAAAAAGTTAAGTCTCCCTAGTTCTTTTTTTGCTTCTTGATTTTTTTAAGACTGGGTAGCACTCTGTTGCCCAGGCCTTAATTCCTGCCTCAAACTCCCAAGGCTGGGGTCACAGGCCAGAGACAGTTTGCTTGCTTCCCATTTCTCTCTTTTTTTTTTTTTTTTCCTTTTAAAAAAAAATATTTTATTATTTTTATTTTATGTATGAGTGTATTGCCTGCATGTGTGTGAGTGCACCCATGTCATGCAGTGCCCATGGAGGTCAGAAGAGGACATTAGATCTCCTGGAACTGGAGTTAGAACAGTTGTTAGTGGCCATGTGGGTGCTAGGATTCAAACCCAGGTCCTCTTCAGGAACAGCCAGTGCTCCTAAACGCTGAGCCATCTCTCCAGGCCCTAGAAATGTCTTTTTAAAAATTTATCATTATGGTGTGTCTATGATGTGTGTGAGTAGGCACATGTGCTACAGGGTGCATGAAGAGGTCAGAGAACAGCTTTCACACTAGGTTTTAGGGCTAGAACTGAGGTCAGCAGGCATGTGACGGAGGTCAATAATTGTTGAGAATGTATTGTTTGAAGAGTCAAGGATACAAAGGTCTACTAAATATTCAACCTAGGGGTAGGGTATGGGTGTGGGTGAAGGGTGGGCTTGGCTACTGCTTCCAAGCTCTACCAGAGGCCACACCCATTAGCCTCGCCCTGGAAGAAAACACTGACCCCAGGCTTGGGTCAATTAATGATGAAACTAGGCTGTAGCAGCCCACTGTATCTGGGAGGAGAGATGGAGCTGTGGATGGCTTTACTTCCTGGGCAATTCAAGCTTTTGTTTCCCCTTCAACTCTCTATGTACACCAAGCTGGCCTTGAACTCACAGAGATCCACCTGCCTCTGCTGGAATTAAAGGTGTGAGCCACCACACCCCGCTCCCTTTCAGCTTTTCTGAGATGGAGTCTTGTTACATAGCTGGCTTCAAACTCACTGTGTAGCTCAGGATGGCCTGGAATGCCTCATTCTCCTGCCTCCGCCTCCTGAGTGCTGGGATGGTGGGCTGTGCCACCACACCCAGCTAGGAAATTCATTTTTGTTCTACTTAAACTTCTTGTTCGTCAGACATTAGGCATCATTTTTATTTTATTTATTAGTATTTTTTTTAAGTGTATGAGTGTTACGCCTGCACGTAAGTAAGTGCACCCGTGTTGTGCAATGCCCTTCGAGGACAGAAGAGGCTGTCAGATCCCCTAGAGCTGGAGTTACAGACGGATGGTTGTTAGCCACCATGTGGGTGCTGGGATTCGAACCTGGGTCTTCTGCAAGAACACTGTTCTTAACCGCTGAGCCATCTCTCCAGCCCCTAGGTATCTTTCTTTCTTTCTTTCTTTTTTTTTTGGTCTTTTTGAGACAGGGTCTCCCTGCCCAGATGTCCTGGAACTCACTATATAGACCAGGCTAGCCTTGAACTCACAGAGATCCACCTACCTCTGCCTCCTGAGTGCTGGGATTAAAGGGGCGTGCGCCCCCACACCTGGCCCCTAGGTGTCAGTTTGTAAGAACTGAGGCACTGGGGATGAACCTCGGGGCAGAGCACTTGCCTACCATGCACAAAGCCCTGGCTTCTACCCCATCAGCATACCTGCAATCCAGGCACTTGGAGAGGGGGATGATCAGAAGTTCAAGTCATTGGTAATTATGAGATGAACACTAGCCTGGGATACATGAAATCCTGTCTCAGAAAATAAAAAAACTGAAGGGCTACTGAGATGGCTTAGTGAGTAGAGGTGCTTGTTGTACAAGCTGGAGACCTCAGTTCAATCTCTACAACCCATGTAAAAGTGGAAGAGAACAGACTCCATGAAGTTGTCTCTGACCTCACACACATCATTGCATGCATGCCATACCCCAATAATAAGAACTGTCAGCTGACACGAGATGTGCACATACAAAAGATCCTGCAGAAGCAGACTCCGACAAACGTGTAGAGTGGGGTAAATGACCCACCTTCTAAATTCTCATGTACAGACTAAAATTCAGAACAGATATCAGTGGTAAGGCTGTGGGTATGGTGGGATTATGGGTGATTTTTGTGTTATGTCTGTAACTGTTCTAAGGGGAAAATTTTTATTGCTTTTATAATAAAAACATGCAAACACCTTTAATCCCAGCACTCAGGAGGCAGAGAGAGGGGGACAGGTAGATCTCTGTGGGATCAAGGCCAGCCTAGTCTACACAGCAAGTTCTAGGGTAGCTGGGGCTACGGGGAGACCCTGTCTCAAACAATCACAACACCACATAACCAAGATATTAGTAACTCTGCACCTCTTCCCCCAGCAGAGCAGATCCAGCCTCTGCATGGAACAGAGTGGCAGAGGTAAGGTGGCTGTGAGTAATGGGCTGCTGGTGGGGAGGCTGCTGGGGACCTGTGTGCCAAGTGCAAGAGTCTGGGGGACCTGGAGGAAGGCCACCCAGGGCCAGGTAAGCCTGAGGGCCCTGTGTGTCTGGGACCCCTGGAAGGAGGAGGGGAAGCGGGGTCACAGCATGCAGGCCACAGTGGGCAGGGGGCTCACCGTCACCTCCTGGTAGGACTCCATGCCATTCAGCACCACCTGGATGACCTGTCGGCGCAGCCTGACACTCTGCTCTGAGCGGTACTCAGAGTTGGTCAAGTAGAAGAGGGCGGCGCTGCCTGTCACTTGAATGTTCTTGTCATACTTGTGGCACTTCAAGGCAGTGATGACCAGCTGTGTGAAGACAGGGTAGGGCCGGAGCTGGAGGTGCTGTGAGAGGGCAGGTCTGGGCTCTGTAGGTGTGCACAGGTCCTCTAGGGGAGGGCTGACCCAGGGGTAGATGTGGGGTCAGGGAATAGGATCTAGGCTAAGGTCTGAAGGAGACAGTGGGGGAGCCAGGTGCTGCTGGAGAGGTCGGGGTTTGGGAGGTAAGACTGCCTGTTCCTCTGGGGTCAGGAGCAGGTAGAGGGACAGAGAATGAGGACACAACTCCAGGCGGGGTTGCCTGGGAGGCTGAGGGCTGCAGGGTCAGGGCTGACCTTCAGGGCCCGCAGAAGCTGGTTGCAGCGTTCAATGCGTGCAATGTCAAACAGCAGGTTGATGGCCCTGGAAGTGATCTCAGGCCGGTGTTCTGTGTAGGCCTCGATGGCGTTCAGCACCTGTTCTTCATTTTTGTCACCACTTACCTGGGGATGGGGCATGCTTAGGACAAGCAGAAGAGGCCAGAGAGCAGGCTCTCCAGATACCACGGCGGGCGCCCCAGACCAGTCACTTCCTTTCCCATTCCTCGCTCCCACACCCCGCCTCTTACTTTGTAGGCTGGAATGTGTGTGAGGCGACACAGGGACGTCTCAAAGAGCCCAAGGAACTGCAGTGGCCTCTTCAGAGCCCGGAAGGGCATGATACTGCTCTTGGAAGGCTCGATGCTGGGGAAAGAACATTCCAGGATCAGTAACTTGAGGCTGGGCCTGGGCTTCCCCCATGGGCTAGGTATTTAATTGATGTTCCTGCCATTAAGGCCTCCAGCCTCATTCCCCTGTACCTGCCCAACTTGCTATATAGCCGAAGCTGGACTTGAACTCCTGATCTTCCTGCCTCCACCTGCTAGGAGCTAGGATTACAAGCATGTGCCACCATGCCTGGTTTATGCTATGTTGAGGATGGAACCCAGGGATTCATGCATGGTAGACACACACTCTACCACCAGAGTTACGTGCATAGCTCAGCTTCCACGTCTTGGTGGAAGAGGAGGAAGGGCACACTCTAAAAGAACATAGGATAGGAGCTGCCACCGCTGCTATCCCTGGAAAATAGTATCTGCTGTTCTAGCAGGGACGTGTTTTACCAGCACGTAAAGGATAAGGTCCTCTGCCACACACCACTAAAATGTGGCTTGGGCAGTGCCTGTGGCCAGTACAGTGTTTGAATCAGACCTCACCACCAGCTCACCAAGGCCTGACCTAGCCTTGGCAACACCTGAGGAACAGCAGGTACCACAGCCTGGTCCTTCCAACAGAGCCCACCATGCCATGGTGTGGCTTGTTTCCAGGCACTCAACCTTTTACCTCCAGGCCTTGGTGTGTGCTGATCCCCTGTTGCAATGTGATCTCTGCAAACTCTGAATGGCTTGGGACAGACTTCCTGTTCCCTTCAGGGACACCCTAGAGCCTACATGTCCCTTGCCAGTCCCCAGAATGACCTGTCTACCCCCACCAGCTCACACAGGCCCAAAGGGGGCAGGGCCTGACTTGCTTATTTATGCTACATTTATTTAGTATGCATGTGTGTGTGTAAATCAGAGGACAACTTCTAAGAGAGGGTTCTGTCCTTCCATCATGTGGGTTCCAGGGACTGAACTCAAGTTATTAGGTTTGGTGGCAAGTACCTTTACCTGCTGAACCATCTTACCAGCCCCTGACTTGTTTTTTTTTGGAGACAGGGTCTCACTATGCAGTCTTGGCTGGCTTGGAACTCACTATGTGAAACAGGCTGGCCTGGGGCTCACAAAGACCCACCTGCCTCTGCCTCCAGTGCCACCGCTCCTGGCTCACTGACTTGCTTCTCATCTTTGCCAGTGGGGCACTGGGTCAGGGCTTGTGAATGACATCCTCCCAGCAGCCATTGAGCTGGGTGCCCACCTGTTCTGGCCTGCCTCCTCATCCATCTTGGAGATGCTGCAGTTCTCCAGGATCATGTGGCCTGAGATGTCCAGTGACATCAGGTTCCCCAGCTTCTGCACCAAGAGGCTCAGTACCTTCCGAGTCAGCTTGAACTTGTAGTAGCTGGAGAGGCGGTCTCGAGAAATGTCCAGGTGGCTGGAGTAGGGTGGGGCTGTAGGTCAGGACCCTGCTCCTTCAGGACACAGGGGGTGGGGGGAGTATGCCTGCCACAATTGCTCCAGGGCACTCTAGAAAAAAGCTCTGAAACCCAGGGGCCCTAAATGGTCCTCATCCTGGTGGAACAGGAGGCCTAAAGAATAGGCTGTCTCTTTCTGTCTCACACTAGGATTGCCCAGAGAGGGGGTTGCTGAACCCAGAGCTGACAACACCCCTCTCCCTCCCACTCCTGCCCTGGGAGCTGGATGGGCAGCTCACCGAAGTTTGTGTAGCTGGACGATGACCCGGATATGGTCGTCTGAAAGGTCCATGTTGTAGAGCACAAGGGACATCAGACTGTCCTTCCACTGCATTAGGAACGTGGCATCGCTTGTCTGGATGCCCGAGAGGTCCAAGGCGGCCAGTGAGTTGAGTGGCCGCAGCAGTGACTCCACAGGGACACCATCAATCATGCGGCCCAGGTTGAGGAAGCGCAGGCGGCTGAAACCCTCGAAGGTGAAGTCCTTGACTAATACCTGGCAGGTGGGGTTGACTAGGCACTCGTCCTCACAGCCCCCTGGGTTCTCCTCCTCATAGAAAATGTTGGAACAGCCGAAGAGGCTTAAGGATACCAGGCTGTGGCTGAAGCTCCGCAGTGTCTGCAGGCTCTTGGCGGACAGCTTCTCGCAGTTGGTCAGGTACAGCTCTACCAGGTCCTAGAGTGGGCAGAATGTCATCAACACCTCTGCCCGCCCTGCCCAGTAGGTCCTGACTTCTGGGGGTCAGGAGGGGTCTGCACAGCAAGGCATGCATTGCAGGGCTGGCCTGGTGCTCAGATGAGGCTGCTCACCTGCTTCCGAATGGCCTCCAGGTCCTGGTCCTGCACCAGGTCCTCTCGGAGGTGGATCCGGGTGAGGCGTGTGCTGCGGGGGTCTGAGAAGAGGCTGAAGAAACTCTCATGTGGCTCAAAGGTACAGGCAGCGCTGACCAGCTCCACATACCTGAGAGAGAAGAAAGTCTGACTTGGGAAGGGCCTAGGGCCTGGGCTGCCTCTGAGCCTGAGTCCAGTACCCCAGACCTGGTGAGATCATCCCTGACGTCACCTCCTTGTCCTCTCCTAACAGTGCCTGGTTAGATTCTGACTAGACTAGATGCCTCAGGAACCAGGAATCAAAAGTGCTGTTCTTGCCAGGCATGGTGGCACACACCTTTAATTCCGGCACTCAAGAGGCAGAGGCAGGTAGATTTCTGTAAGATGGAGGCCAGGCTGGTCTAAGTTCCAGGCCAGTTGAGGCTATAGGGAGACCCTGTCTCAAAACAACCAAAAAAGAGTGCTATCAGGGTGACCTCTGGTTATGTCTCCTACCCACAGCAAGTCCCAAGCACTTCCGTCCAGCAGCCTAGACATGCCCCTAACACGTGTGACACCTGTGCCTTCTCTCCGTCATCCTCAGCCTGCACTACCACAGCCACAGCCCCATCACGGTTCACACTCATCTTCCCTAAGCCTCCTTCTGGAGCCCTATCAGCTCCTCCCAAGGCCTTTCTAGCAGGCAAATGACATAAAGTGCTTTGGAGCTTACAGCTGGGTATTGGGCACAGGGTGAATCCACAGTGACAACCAACCTAGCCAAGACACCAGTTCAGGCAAGAATCCTGGGCTAGTGGGAGGGTTTCTGGCCCCACATTGTGAAACCTAAAAACTGGCTGGGCTATTCCCTGCTTGTGCAGCTTATACAGGAAACTGAATTTTCCTGGATCTTAGTCTATTTATCTGTGAAATGGACTTAACTGTGGCTGGTAAACTGTTCAACCTCATACCTAACCTACATCAGATGCTCAGAAAATCATTACAAATCCAGTTTAGACCTCATTTCCCATTTGGCTATACAACTCTTAGATCTAAGTTGGGCTTGGTGGCGCAGCACACCTTTAATCCCAACACTTGGGAGGCAGAGATGGGCTGATCTCTGTGAGTTCAAGGCCAGCCTGGTCTACACAGGGAGTTCCAGGCCAGCTGGGACTGCAGGAAGACCCTGTCTCAAACAAAACAAAACAAAACAAAACAAAACAAAACAGCTCTTAAATGTAACAATTTCCCTTTGGGGGTAACTGGTGTTAAGCATCTGGTACTCAGAGTGTTTCATATATGTTTCAGGTGACTCTGGCAGCAGGCAGACCACCAGGGAGGCTGCATAAGGATCTCCTGGATTATTATTTTGGTTTTGGCATGCATGTAAACCCACATGTGCCCTGAGCACTGAGTTCAGAGGAGCAGGCACAGGTGTGAGCACACACAGGACAGCATGGCCCTGGTTTACATGTGGGGTTTTACACTAACTCATCCCCAAATATACACGCAGCCTCACACTCACACGTCTTGTGTTGAATAGGCCTGCATGTATATATGCCTATTCCTTCATGTGTCCAACCTATGCACATGTGACAACACACACACATACTGTATGGTACACACACCATTGTTCTCCATATCATAACATAGCCATTTCAACACAGCGCTCTGCATGCACAGTCTCAACCTCCACCCCACATTCTCATTCTGCCTCCACCCCACCCCGCCCTGGAGCCCCTTGCTCACTCATTGACCAGCTGGTCACAGATCTCGCTGGGTAAGAAGACGTCAGGATGCAGCCGTAGGCTCTCCTTGTCCAGTAGGTACCCCAGGGTGCCATCCAAATTGCGCAAGCAGAAGTCAGTACACAGGGTCATCAGGGATTCAGGCGTGTCGGATGCCATGCTGAGGGCAGGCAGGTGACCACTCCAGGACAAGGGGCCCCCAAGGGCAACTGTGACTCCTTAATAGTCACAGGATCATTGGCAGAACACAGCCTGGGAAGGAGAAAAGAAAGCAAATAAGCCAAGATAAGGGCTTATATCTACTCTGAGTGGGGAAACTGAGACCCATATGTCACGTTCAAATCAGCACTTCAAGGTCAGTGCACACCTGCATCCCAGCACTTGAGAGGCAGAAGCACCTGAACTCTCTTAGTCTACATAGTGAATTCCCAGGCCAGCCAGGGCTATAGAGTGAGACCTTGCCCAGGACAACAGAAGGCAGACAAGATGGCTCAATGGGTAAAAGCACTTATCATCAAGCCTGGTAATCTGAGTTCAATCCCCAGGATCCCCTTAGAGGAAGGAGAGAACTGACTTCTGCAAGGTGTCCTCTGACTTTCACACATGTGCCCAGGCATGTACACATGTTAGTACAAACACATAAGTAAACAACAGTAACAGAACTTCCCCAAACAAAACAAAGACAGAAATGGAAACGACAAAATAGAGCATCCACAGCAGTGTTATTTACAGTTGATAAAACATGGAAATACCCCACACCCCTTCATGAAAGAATACACAGAAGATTCTCTACCCATAAAACACTGAATATTACTGAGCTACAAAAAAATTGGGTATGCCGGGCATGGTGACGCACACTTTTAGTCCCAGCACTTGGGAGGCAGAGGCAGATAGATCTCTGTGACTTTAAGGCCAGCCTGGTCTACATAGTGAGTTCCAGGCCAGCTGGGGCTATGGGGAGACACTGTCTCAAAAAGACCAAAAAAAAATTGGATATTTGTTGGTGGGTGTGGTGGTAGTGCACTCTTTTAATCCCAGCACTAATGAGGCACAGGGAAGCATATCTCTGTGAGATGGAGGTCAGCTTGGTCTACATAGCAAGTTCCAGGCCAGCTGTGGCTACAGGGAGATCCTGCTTTAAAAAGACAAAGCCAGGCGTAATGGCTCTAGCCAGGTGTGGTGGCGCATACCTTTAATCCCAGCACTCGGAGGCAGAGGCAGGCGGATCTCTGTGAGTTCAAGGCCAGCCTGGTCTACATAGTGAGTTCCAGGACAGCTGGGGCTACAGGGAGACCCTGTCTCAAAAAGATGAAAAAAAAAAAAAAGTTAAATATTGCTGAGCGTGGTGACACATGCCTTTAATCTCAGCACTTGGGAGTCAAAGGCAGGTGGATCTCTGTGAAATCCAGACCAGCCTAGCTACATATTGGGGCTGGAGAGGTGCTTCAGTGGTTAAGGGCACTGGCTAACAAGCATCCTAACTCCAGTTCCAGGGGATCCAACGCACTCTTCTGATCTCCATGGGCATTGCAAGACACAGGTGCACTTATGTACATACAAGCAATACACTCATACACATAAAATTTAAAAAAATAATAAAATATTTTTTAAAAAAGATTCGAGGGCTGGAGAGATGGCTCAGCAGCTAAGAGCAATGCTGCTCTTCCAGAGGACCGGGATTTAAATCCCAGCACCCACATGGAGGTTAACTGTAACTCCAGTATTAGGGAACCTGGTGTTCTGGTCTCACTTCCACAGATGTTGCTTGTGCAGATGCACTTACAAGTAAGCAAACGCTCATATACATAAAAAATGATTTAATGGGACTCGAAAGCTGGCTCAGCGGTTAAGAGAACTGACTGCTCTTACAGAGGACCCAGGTTCGAGTCCCAGCACCCACATGGCGGCTACAAACTGTCCTTTACTCCAGTTCCACAGGAATCCGAAGCCCTCTTCTGATCTTTGCACAACATGGGTGCACTCACATACATACAAGCAATACACTCATACACATAAAATAAAAATAGTAAAGAAAATATTTTTAAAAGATTTAAATAAATAAATAATAAATAAATAGGTATTCTCCCTTGCTTCCAAGTGCTAGGATTATAGGTGTGCACCATCATGCTTGCCTGAAGATTTCTTTTTAAAAATTATTATTGTGTGTGTGTGTGTGTCTGTCTGTCTGTCTGTGCTCCTCTTGGATTCCAGGGATCAAGCTCAGGTCACCAGGCTTGTGCAGCAGGCACCTTTACCTGCTGAGCCATCTTGCCAATTCCCTAAGATTTCTTAACAGGCTTCAAAAAATGCTAATGGGGGGGGCTGGAGAAATGACTTCGTGGTTAAGTGCACTGGCTGCTCTTGCAGAAGACTGGGGTTCAAATTCCAGCACCCACATAGCGGCTAACAACCATCTATAACTCCAGTTCCAGGGGATCTGATGTCCTCCATGGGCACTGCATGACACAGATGCACTTACATACATGCAGGCAATACACTCATACATATAAAACAAAAATAAATTAAAAAAATGTTTATCATGCCGGGCATGGTGGCGCATGCCTTTAATCCCAGCATTTGGGAGGCAGAGGCAGGCGGATCTCTGTGAGTTCAAGGCCAGCCTGGTCTACATAGTGAGTTCCAGGACAGCTGGGGCTACAGGGAGACCCTGTCTCAAAAAGACCAAAAAAAAAAAAAATGATAATCATAATGGAGAAAATGTTAATCTGGTCTTGTCTACCCTGCAGTGAAGACACTTCTGTTAATGCACACACACATTAATCCCAATACATGAAAGACTTAACATGAAGGGTAAAACAGCGTAGGCCTTTTGATGTTACAGTGGGCAGTGAATTCACATAAGGACGCTGACAGATAGGACTGGTGAGAAGCCTGCAATCCCAGCATCTGGGAGGAAACTCAGGCAGGAGGATCATGTAGTCCAAGCCTAGGCAACATAGTAGAGACAGAAAGGGAGGAAGGGAGAGAGGGACAGGGTGGGGGGAGGGAGCCACAGACTACAAATATCTCCAATAACATATATTCAGAATATATAAGCAACTTTTATAAAGCAGTAAGGAGAAAAAAGGCTTAGCATAGCACCCAATTTAAAACTGGGGGCTGGGCATGGTCGTACCTGCCTTTAATTCTAGCACTGAGGAGGCAGAGGCAGGTGGATCTTTGTGAGATCAAGACCAGCTTGGTCTACATGGTGAGTTTCAGGTCAGCTGGAGCTACAGGGAGACTCCTATTTAAAAAAACAAACAAACAAACAAACAAACAAAAAAAAAAAAAAAACTGGGCAATAAGGGGGCTGGAGAGGTTAGGGACAAGTACTGCTCTTGTGGACAACCCAAGTCCAGTTCCCAGAACCCATTTCGGGCAGTTGACAGCTGCCTGGAGGTTGGGCTCCAGAGGGACCCAATGCTTCTGACCTTCACTCACATGCACAGACACACACTCATACACATAATTAAAAATAATGGTGGCGCATGCCTTTAATCCCAGCCAGCACTCAGGAGGCAGAGGCAGGCACATCTCTGTGAGCTCAAGGCCAGCCTGGTCTACATAGGGAGTTATAGGCCAGTTGGGGCTACAGGGAGACCCTGCCTCAAAAAGATAGATAGATGATAGATAGATGGATAGATGGATAGATGATATAGATAGATAAAAATTTTAAGGTGGGCAAAAATCTTGAACAGGCATCTCCTAAAGGAAGATGGAGAAAGAGACAATTTCTCATGAAGGGCCCTCAGCTCGCTCCATCAGTATCAGGGCAATGCACATGAGCCCACAATGAGATGCCACTTCTAACCCGACAGTGGCCCAACAGGACCTAAGTTCGATCCCCAGAGCTCAGTGGAAGGAGAAAACAACTCCTGAAAGTTGTCCTCTGACCTCCACACATGCACTGTGGCACATACATGCCCACACTCTCACACACATACATCATGCACACACATAATAATAAGAAATCATTTTTCAAAGATATTAACTGGAGGAGCTGGAGAGATGCTTCAGTGGTTAAGAGCATGGACTACTCTTGCAGAGGACCTGGGATCAATTCCCAGCACCCACATGGCAGCTAACAACTGTCTATAACTCCAGTTCCAGGGGATCCCACACCCCTTTCTGACCTCCGCAGGCACTGTATGACACGGGTGCACATACACACATGCAGGCAATACACTCATACACATAAAATAAATAATAAATAAATATTAACTGGGGGAGGGGGCTGGAGAGGGCTCAGTAGTTAAAAGCACTGGCTGCTCTTGCAGAGGACCCAGGTTCGGTTCCCAGCATCACATGGCAGCTAATGACTGCCTGTAACTCCAGTTCCAGGGGACTCTGACACCTTCTTCTGACCTCTGTAGGCAATGCACAACATGGGTGCATCTACCTACATGCAGACAATACACTCATACACATAAAATAAAAAAATAACAAAATAGTTTTCAAAATTGTGAGGACTGTAATACAGCTATGTATGAGGGTGTGAGATTAGCAGCCATATTTTGCCAGCTCTTTATTTTCATTGGTTGTCTCTGGTTGAACATCGTATATGCAAAATTTTTTTAATTTTTATTTTTATTTTATTTATTTATTTATTTATTATTTGATCTTTTTGAGACAGGGCCTCCCTGTAGCCCCAGTTGTCCTGGAACTCACTATGTAGACCAGGCTGGCCTTGAACTCACAAAGACCCACCTGCCTCTACCTCCCGAGTGCTGGGATTAAAGGCATGCACCACCAAGCCCAGCAAAATAAAAATAGTATTTTTTTAAAAAAAGATATTAACTGGGCGCTGGAGAGATGGCTCAGTGGTTAACAGCACTGGCTGCTCTTGCAGAGGACCCAGGTTCGGTTCCCAGCATCACATGGCAGCTAATGACTGCCTGTAACTCCAGTTCCAGGAGATCCAACTGCCTCTTCTAACTTCCACAGGCATTGTACACAACACAGGTGCACTTACATCTACGCAGGCAAAATCCTCATACATATAAAAAGTAAGTAAATGAATAAATAAAAGATGCTAACTGTCACAGCAGCACTCTATGTACGAGCCCCCAGAAGACGAGGTCCCGAGTGCCCACTGACAGTGCACTGGGTGCTACAGTATATTCACTGCTCAAATATTATGTGGCAACGAGAACACAGTCAACCTTGGATGAGCCTCACAATATGCAGAGGAAGGAAGGAAGAGTGCAGGCTGGCCCTCCAGCTGCCGCTCCCTCACATGAAAATACGAG